AAAGACTGCATTTCTCACTTTCTTTGAAGGTAGGGGCAGTCAGTGCAACCCAGTAAGATGCAAATAGAAGTGGCATAAGCAACTTCTGTCCTTCAGTGAAGGGCTATGCCTGCCATATTCCCTTTCCCTCCACCCTGCTGCTTGGAATATGGATATGAACTCTGCATCTCCAGATGGTGTCAGTTCTCCATTGCTTACTTCCAAATAAGTATGCCTAAAAGAAAGAGATTTTACTTGTTTAAGTCACTTTACAATGGAATCAAACACCCACACTCATGAAATGTAACAAAGACAAGGAGATCTCTTTGCTTCTATCCCAATCTCATTTTGATTCCTAGATAATCACAAGTGGCAATCGTGGTAATAGAAGGTAAAGTAAGGAACATCTTAACTAGTCCCTCATAATTCTAGATTAGACATCCAGTATACCTAGCAGATTGTATAACCAGAAAGGAGATAAATCACTTTAATGACCACTAATAACAATCTTTCTATCTTTTCATCATGTGAGATAAAATTTAAATGGTTAGTTGATTGAATATGGAATCAAAAGGAGGCAAAGATAACATTTCCCCATTAAAGGCACAATGTTGGAAATGAGTATAGTTGAATCTTAGAAGAATAATGGATATAGTGACATTGTGTTTTGACTTTTTAGCTGAATCATAATTTATGTAAAATAATTCAATTTTTATGCTCCAGTTTTTATGTGAAGTTCTGTGAGTTTGGGCAATTGTCTGCAGAATTACAACGACTACCACAATCAAGATATAAAACAGTTTTATCACTTCAAAATATTCTCCCATGCTCCTTTGTCAACAGTCCCCCTAATCCCTGGCAACCACTGATCTGCTTTCTATACTTATAATTTTGCTTTATCCATACTTTCATGCAAATAGAATCATACACTATATAACCCTTAGTTTACTGATATTATTTTCATGAATGAACTTTGATAGTTGCAGTTTTCAGAGAATTTTCCCATTCAACTAAATGGCTGGACTTATGCATGATGTTTTGTGTATTAAAAAAAAAAAACTTTTATTAGTATTGTTGTTGTTTTCTCAATCTATTCCCACTCTCCCTAACAACAATTGTCCAGACTCCTTGCTTTGACCAGTTGGAAGCAATGAAGGGACACTGAAAGGCAAGAGGTTGGTAGATGCCAACTTTGAGCTTCAGAGCAGTGTTTCTGGTAATGGCTGAATCTTCTTCATGTTCCAGCTCCAGTTGTACAACTAATCCAAGCTACCTTCCTGCCAGATTGCTTGCAGCGGCTCCCACTGAACAAACCCAACACTGGAACTCTGGGTCCTTCTTTTGCTTTGCTTTGATTAATCTCTGTGTTGCTTCATTGTTCTGCTTGGCTTTTTCAATTCTCACAATATCTTTGTAATTAGTTCTCCCTTAAATTCTTCTATTGGATTTCCGGGCTTGGACTGTATGTTCCCCCCTGACTGATGGATTTGATTTTAATTAAACTTAAATTTTAGAATTTTGCCTGATTCTTATTTAAATTGTTCATTAAGTTCAACCTTAACAGTACTTACTACTTAATAAATTAGAAGGGCCCTCTAATTGTACAAATGAATATAATAATGTGGTATTTCTCATTCACACTTGTACTTACAAAATAAAGGGAATATGCAATTTCCAAAAGATATGCATTCATTCAAGCCATCATGTACAAGAGTGAGACTTTTAGCCCCACTCTGAAAGTCTCCCCACATATATATACCTAGATAGCAATAGAACAACTAAATGGTCCCAGAGAAAGCACCTCCTGATATAGTCCTACAAGAGCTCCCAGTGAACATCTCACTTTTGACCTGATGACCTGAAAGTGAAGCCTGGTGGTTGACCAGTTCTCCCCACAAACACTCCCACTCCCATACAAGAGCTTCAATCAATATTTCAGTATTTTTTTTCCTCTTGAATATGATTGTAAGGTTAAGAATCATTATATAGCTAGTCATGATGGTGCATACCTATAATCTCAGAGACTCAGCAGGGTGAGGAAGGAGGATCATAAGTTAGAAGCCATCCTCAGCAACCTAACAAGATCCTGTCTCAAAATTTTTAAAAAAGGCTGGGGCGGGGGTGGGAAGGAATGTAGCTCATTGGTAAAATACCTTTGAGTCAATCCCCAATACAAAAACAAAACAACAACAAAAACTAATCCACAATTGTGAGAGTGAATTAGTGACTACCTTAGGTGGAGGAGGGGTTGGTTCTATATCTTTATTGGAGTGATAGCTATAGAGATGTACACACAATATGCAAAATATACACTTGGCATATTTACTGTTGATATCTCAATAAACATCATTTTTAAAAATAAAAATAAATTTCTTAGGATAAGTGACTTTGAACTTAGTGGTTTTATTACAGGTGGACGAATGGTCACATATTGAAAAACAAATTATAGATGATGAGGTGCCATCAAAAAATTCTAGTATGGGGCTGGGGATGTGACTCAAGGGGTAGCACGCTCGCCTGGCATGCGTGCGGCCCGGGTTCGATCCTCAGCACCACAAACAAAGATGTTGTGTCCGCTGAAAACTAAAAAATAAATAATAAAATTCTCTCTCTCTCTCTTAAAAAAAAAAAATTCTAGTATGATCTCATTTGCATGTTAGAAAAATCATTCTTGTGGGAAGAATGACTGGAAACAATGAGTGGAAGAGCTTATTAGAAACATGTAACTTCTGGGCATATGGGACATGTGAAATCAGTTATTGTAAATGTGTTGTGGCACCCATCTGCACATTAGTATAATTTTCTCTAGAGCACCCAGCATCCCAGGTGGACGAAAATGGAAAAACCATGGTTAGCTTTATCAGCTAGAAAAAAAAAAATTCAGCAAAGCAGCAATATGCAAATGTAGTTGAGAATGGTTAAACAGGATGGTGTCCAGGCAGATAGGAAAACTTAACCAAGCAGATAAACTGGCAGAATAGTAATGAGTTGGAGGATGAGAGATCAGGATGAAGCCAGAAAGCACGTATAGGAAAAATGAAGGAGAGGCTGTGGTTAGTAGCATGTTGAGATATTAATGATGACAACAAATCTTAGATATATCTATTTTTTAAAACTGTAGACAACATGACTGGCACAGTGGCACACACCTCGTATCTCAGCAACTCAGAAGGCTGAGGCAGGAGGATTGCAGGTCTGAAGCCAGCCTCAGCAACTTAGCAAGACTCTGTCTCAAAATAAAAAACAAAAAGGGCTGGGGACGTTCCTCAGTGGTAAAGTGGTCCTGGGTTCTATCCCCAGTACCCCTCCAAAAAATGTAGACAACATTCAATAGTGCTCTAGAATATAATGTACAAAAATTACTCACTGTAGGTTACCTTGTTGAAAGTATTTATATGCATTTACCTGTGTGTTAGTAAAATATTTCTGAAAAAAAAATTTAAGAACTTTATTACACTGGTTGTGTCTGAAAAAAAAAACTGGGAGACTGGAGGATACAGGAGGGAGGGAGGGAGTTTTCACTGTATTCCTTTTTGTTACTTTTGATTATTGAATCATGTGAAAGTTATTATTTATTCAAAAATATATAGATAATATTAAATAAAAATAAGGAAAAAAATACATGTGATATAATAAATAAAAACAGAATACAGAATGAGGCATCTATGCTTCAAGTTTATAAATTAGGCACATATATATGAACAAATATTAGGAGGTAAGAAAAAAAAGCCCAATATGATTTGCTTAAAAATGTCTAAAAGAAAATACACAATGATTAAAAAAAAACGGAAAACAGATCATCTGGACTTTCCAAATTTTTATATCAATGGACAAACACTGAGCACCTCTCTGCTGGTGCCAATCCCAAATAATAAATGCAAAATATGATTCTGAAGAGCCATTGGCACTGAAGAAATAAATGTAGTTCCTTTTCCAATATATTGTCTGTCTTGTGCTTGGTCCCTAATATTTAGTTAGCGTGCCTAAGCAGCATGCATGGCACATAAAAGCAAGTCTCATATGACAATGGCTAGGCTTAGCAAATCTCCCTGGACTGCTTGCTGTTCATTAGACTTTGCTACATGCCCTGGTCCTGTATGCATATGATGTTGCTCAGGGAAATCATCATCATCCATTCCAAATAATGGATGAGCCTATGATATCTAAAAGGAGTCACAGACCAGTGGGAGATATCATCTATATTTGGTTACACAGACACACACACGGTGCTGAGAGACCTGGTACCTTTTCACACCTCAGAATTTGCCATTCAAATGGTTTAGTGATGTGTATACACATCCACCCTTCTACCTCTCACACCCTTAACTGGTCTTCAAAAATCTAGCCTTTACTTCATACCTCATAGTTCGACATTGATTCTAGAGTTAAGGAACCTGAGGCTGTACAGGTAAAATTATCTAAGTCCCTGAGGACATCATGGTATGTTAGTTCCTGGTTTATTAGAATTGCACATTTTTAAAAGAGCAGGCAAGGCAAAGGAGACCAGTTTTCTTACTTCAAGCATGTCCCCAAGTTTCTTCACCAGGGAGTGCTCTACCTTCTTCCACGGCAGGATAGGGTAGTACATAACTAGCCCTACACTCCATACCTGAGCAGACACATAAACCAAGCTGCATTTGTTATAGAAGACTGAATCAGCCTGCTCTCTAGTTAACAAAGGACTAGCTAGAGAATAGATGCTCAATGAATGCACCGACTTTAATTGCACCAAAGAAAGAAGTAGTTCTTGTTACGTCTTAAGAAAGGCTGGGTACTGAACTTTCACTTAGGAGGTCTTCTCTACTTGTTCTTTAGCCTGCAAGTTGACTACTTCCTGCTTTCCTTCTCTCCCCCTGCCCGCATGCGCCGCCCCCATCTCTCTCTCTCTCACACACACACACACACTTGTTCAGATTTACCTAATTAGAAAGTAAAATAGAAAAAGCAATAACTTAATGACTAACAGAAAAGTTTTTTAAAAATTATTAACTAGTGTTTCAGGACAAAAGGAGCTCAGGTTTGCAGAAGTATTTGGTCTATATTTTTCCTCTACTTTATAATCAACTCATGCTAATGTAAACCAAAAACACAACTCAAACTAAATATAGATTTCACTCACGAGTAATTACAAAGCAGGCATTTCAAATCAGTGTTGATCTAATGTTTTTAGAACAATTATTTCATTTTCAAGTCCAATATCTGCCAAGTAAATCACCAATTTCCAGTTCATTCTTATTTAATATAAAAAATCTTATTAGTATAAAGCTATTTCACAGCTGTCTTTAAACTAAGCCATAGTCAAGAACATGAAGCACTTGGGGTTTGCCTTGGTAACTCCAAATTAAATATTCTTTTTTGTCCAAATATAAAAGAGCAATAATTATGTTTTATTTTGAAGTTTTAAGCTGAGCTAATCTCAGATTTTATTATTTTTCAAAGACAACTCCAATTTTGAAATAGATGTCCCTAGCACTGTAAAATAAAAAATAAAATTAATAATATAAGTAAAAATAAAATTTTAAAAATAACTTTTCTTGCATTAAGTAGCATACCAGATCCAGTAGCAAATGTAGATGTTCAAAGAGCTTATTCTTTAATATTTGTCATATGGATTGTTCAAACAAATTGTTACTCAATCATTAAATCCTAAATTAACCAAGGTAAAGTATCAGAACATGAGTTTGATTGGGTCAAAGAGGATTGTCAGATTTTTGGTGCCATGTCTATCACCCTTTGATAAATGCAGGTGGTGAGTTGTAGCTTCACCTCCAAGTTGGATTAGCCTGGGTTCCAGCCTTGCCTCATACTAGTTGTGGAAGATTAAATGGATCACTTTAATTTCTCTGATTTTTTTTTTAATCATTATGAATTGCAGGAAATACTTGGTGGTTTGGAAAAAAACAAACCCAAAATATATACCATATAAAGGCAATTGAAGATGAATAGATTAAAACAAAGCCTAGAAATTTCAGTTTTGCTATGTGATGCATAAACTAATACTTTTTCTATAAATAACAGCTTCAGAACATTCTTATATAATCCTATTGTTTATTGAACACAAGATGGTAGGGTTTCAAGATTTTATTTATAGCTATTTAATGGCTATTATTGTAAAACTGACTTATTATTTTCAATATATTGTAAATCACTAGAGACTTTAATGTTTTGATTGTTCATTGAAAGGGATACCCCTTAAAGTTCAATTTGTGTATATCCAACCTTGGAATTTCGGGCAAAAGACATAAGGAATGTGTTAGCCTGGATTGGGGGTGGATTTTTCTATGTCAAATACTAAGGTCTTTTTCTTCTTGAAAAATATAAATAATAATATTCAGGGCTCAGATAAGTACATTTTCACTCAAAATACATGATAAACCAAAGACAACTCAGGAATAGTCAACACTACCCAGTCAGAAGAATGTTTTGATTTATTAATCTCTAAGAGTAATAAAGTAGATGAGCCAATAGATCCTCTGCTTCTTACTGGGTGTTTGAAGAAATGAGCACCCTTACCTCATTTCTATTGTAATAGTCCTGGGGAAAAGGAATGAGTGAAAGCTTAGGTTCTGATAGACAGGGAATGAGACAACATCCCATTGCACGATTTGATCACTAGGTATAAAGCAAGGCCTGCTGCAGTAGACATTACACCTTGGGGTAACATTCTGTAACCGAATTCTACTAGTCTCCCTGCAGGATGGAAGAGAGGAAAACTGAAACCACCAATACCATATCCAGTATAAGACAAGTCTACCTAGAGAGTAAGGAAGCCTGAAGAACAAATCTCTACCATGAGGTAAGGGAATGGGGGAGGCAAAGGAACAGGAACTAAGCCATTTTCATCTTTTCCCTCATTCCCACCCCCATATCACCATTACTTCTTTTTTCCTTCTAAAGTGTCTAGTCCAAAAGAGGGCTTGTTATAGTGACTATGTAAGTGGACTAGAAAGAATGAAAAGGTTTAGGCCAGAAGCAATTCTGAAAGACTTGTTGTAATTATACTACAAAATAGAAAAAAGGAAAAAACAGATATGTAGTCAAAAGATAAAACCCATTAGCACAAATTACAGTATATTATCAATTTCTTGGCCATCTACTACAACATATTTGTATTAACTTCTTATGTTATAAACAAGAATATTGTTAAGTGGGATATTCTTTTAAAGATTTCAATGTGTTCCCATTTTAAAAGGTTTCAGAAAGCTAGGCATGATGGTGAACATCTGTGATCCCAGCTACTTGGGAGGCTGAGTCAGGAGGATCATGAGTTCAAGACCAACTTGGGCCAACTTAGTGAGACCAGACTCAAAATAAATTTTTTAAAACAAGATTGAGAATGTAATTCAGTGGTAGATCACTTGCCTACCATGTGTAAGACCATAGGTTCAATACCCAATATTGAAGAAAAAAAAAAAAAGATTTCATATTAAAAAAAATGAAGACACATAAGATAAATATATTTGACCTTTATAGCTGATCTATTGTTACAAGTTGAGAGAAATAATCATGAATTGCCTGGAGGATGAATTGAAAACAATTGGTGGACTACTTGTACAATGCCATCAGAAACAAAGCAGGTACATGCTTATCTAAAAATTTAAAAAATGAAACAAATCAAAATATCCCTTGTTCTTCTTTTTTAATTGTTGTGTGGATTAAAAAAAAAAAAAGTTTATACCAACTAAAACATGGAGGCAGCCATACTTTTAAGTGCAGTTGCTTTTGCCTCCCTCCATTCCAGTACTGGGGCTTGAACTGAGGTGCTTTACTCCTAAGCTACAACCTCCACTCCCACAACCTTTTTATTTTGAGGTAGGGTCTTGCTAAGTTGCCCAGGCTGGCCTCAAACTTGTGATCCTTCTGCTTTCACTTCCAGAGTGGATAGGATTGCAGTCATGCACTGCTGTGCCTGCCCAGTTGCTGCTTCTTGAGACAGCTGGAATGCTGGGCCCATCGGCTCTACACCAGGATATTTGGCAATGTCTGAAGACATTTTTTTCATTGTCACAACTTGGATGTAAGGAGCTACTGACAGCTTGAGGGCAGAAGCTGGGGATGCTGCTAAACAACTTGTGAGGCACAGGACAGATGTCTACAAGAATCATCTGGCCCAAAATGTCAAAAGTGCCAAAGTTGAGAAATCCAGCTCTATACCATCAAGACCTAAATTGTTCCTAAAATGTTGTACAAACTGCAATTTCTGGAAAATTGACAAAACAAGAGGCAGAGGAGAAGGAAGAACAGCACAAGGGTGAAAAATCTTATTGGTCTTTGAGCAGTTCTAGATAAGCTGTGCAAACAGCTGTACAGCTACAGATGCAAATTCAACTCTCCTCCAAATGAACAGAAAATGAGGCCAAAGATATTCTCAGTGTTAAGACAGTTCCCTTAAGTATATGTAACAGAAATTCATCCTCAGATGTACAAAGGCTCAAAACAATATATCATCTACACAATCTTGTTGGGAAAACAATACCTTGACACCTCACTCGAGCTGGCCAAGAAGAGACTCAAAATTAAGAAATAAAGAACAGGAGAAGTTTGGGCAGCAAAGCTTGGGAATCCAGTTTCAATATCCATTATTGTACAGCTCAAAGGGAAACCATGGCTCTGATACTTCTTTCACCTATTCCTTACCCACTGGAAGAACTTGCTGAGAATTACATCTTTGACTTCACTGTGCTCAGCAACACATTTGACACAAGGTTTAGAGAATTACCAAACCACAAGTTTTGTTTGTTGAATTAATTTTTCTCCCTACCATAAGAGTTCCCTGGAAATAAAAAGGTAATTTTTTATTGTAAAGTAACTCAAGGAAGCAATTTTCTGCATCTTTAAAATTAATACTGAATGGCTTAGGTCACTGAGTTTTTTTTTTTTAATTGGTAAAGACAAATACTTGATTTTAACTATAATCAAGAACTTTCCTTTTTTTTTCCACCTAGGGTATATAAATGTTCCTTTGTTAATGTTGTCTAAAAATCAGTATGAAACCAGGCACAGGTGGCACATGCCTATAATCCAAGCAGCTCAGGAGGCTGAGGCAGGAGGAACACGAGTTCAAAGCCAACCTCAGCAACTGTGAGGCACTGAGCAACTCAGTGAGAACCTGTCTCTAAATAAAAATACAAAATAGGGCTGGGGTTGTGGCTCAGTGATCGAGTGCCCCAGAGTTCAATCCCCAGTACCAAAAAAATAAAAATAAACAGTATGAACTTAAGGGGCTTAAAACTACATATATGTATATACATGTATATATACAGATATATGAAGAGAATATAAATATAGAAAGACTGAAGCATTATGTTAATCATTATCTCTGAATAGTGGATTAGTGAAATTCTAAGTAATTTTGTTCCCCCTTGAATACTCTTCTGTATTTTGTGAATTTTATATAAGGAGAATGTTATTTTTATAATAAAAAATTTTAATCCATATATATTATATACACCAATAACTACTGTGCAAGTAAATGTAGAGGGGAAAGACCAGAAGGAAGTGAGTCAAAGGCAGTCTTTCATCATTCATTCATTCATCTAATGGATACCTATTAAGCAGCTACTCAACCAGGTATGGTGCTGGGCACTGGCTACCTGGTTCACATCTCCAACTGTGAACTTTTGGTGTTTTTCTTTCTTCTCTTTTGTACTTATTAAAAGTGTAATTGTGAATGTCTTTGCTTTTAAAATGATGGATGTTGTATTTCTAAAAGATGAGGATACAATAATAGTTCAGAAAAGGGTGTGTTGGTGTATTTGTACAGATGCGTCCAACAGATGAACTTCTGAAATATTCACGTATTTCTGAAGTGTGTTGGCACTCCCCAGGAAGGCTTCTTACTACCCCTTGCAAAATTCCTTTTTTTGTTTGTTTTTAGTACCAGGGATTGAAGCCAGGGTGCTTAACTATTGAGCTACAGTCTTAGTTCTTTTTATATTTTATTTTTAAGACAGGGTCTTGCTAAGTTGCTTGGGGCATCAATAAATTGCTGAGGCTGGCTTTGAACTTGTGATCCTCCTGCCTCAACCTCCCAAGACCCTGGAATTACAGGCATGTAACACTATGCCCTGTCAAAATTTATTTCTTTTGCAAACAAAACATTTATTTGAGTATAAGTAATGCATGTTCTTTTTTGCAGAGTAAATTTTTAGATGTATTTACTTAGCATGTTTTTAAGATATTATAGAGATTTTTTCCTACAAGACTTTTGAAAATGAATCAATTTACATTAATACAAAATTCCTAAATTATGTCTTTTTGTGAATGAGATTTATCTTTAGATTTTTCTTTTTCAGTCTTTTTCCTCCGTTTTTCTTCTGCTTGTTTTTCAAAATAATCTTTAAGGAGCTGGTTCAGGTGGGGTTCATACTGGCTTGCATGTTGCAATCCATTTTCACTTCCTTAAAAAGATACAAAACAGGAGACAATTATTCTTTATTTTATAGTAGTCTGCATATTATCATACCAGTTCTCTCCCACAATGACAAATCTAGAGCTATTCCTGCCCAAACCATCCCACACATTAACCCACAAGAGTTTTAATTAAAAAATGCTTGAAAGAAATACATTTCTATTTTACCTTCACAATGTTGGATCACACGCCCCCATAGTCGGTTTTTTCTCAAACAGGCTAAATTTCCCACAATCAACAAATGCCTCTTTCCTCTGGTCAATGCAACATTCATTCGTTTTTCTGAATCAATGAATCCTACTTGTCTTGTCCTTACACAGGAAAGAATAATGATCTCCTTTTCAGCACCCTGAAAAGCATCTACTGTGGACACCTGCACACTTTTAATATTAGGATGGTCAAAGTCCACAGCACTGAGTAAATGACAGAGCTGTGGAGGAAAGAAGGCAAGAATCATGCAGTGCAGAGACAGTGCAAAAGGTAAATCTACAGACCTACTCACAGCCACCATCTTAATTAAACTAACATTTCTCTTTCATGACTTACATAGACTTGGCTAGATATTTTCTAAAATGATAGATAAATGACAATGTTAATTATGAAACAAAACAAAATTACTTATCTATTGCTAGGAAACTCATTTGGATATGCTAATTTAGAGCTCATAAATAAGCAAACAATGAAAAATAAAAAATACTAAAAGAAAAATCTACTTAGAAGTAATTGGCTCAGGTGTACATTAATATCTAGTATCTACCTTTGACTTACTGGTAAATGTAGTAATAATGAGAGAACATTTTAGAAAACAGATTCAATCCGATCTGTCTCAAAACACAAAGCATACACCATATTTTCTTCCCTCTAATTTGTTTATTTGCATTTTGCCCCAACAGCTGTAAACTGAATTTAATTAAACCTTGTTAGGTTTACATTTAATTATGCACAAAAAAAGCCAGGCTAGAAAAAAAAAATCAGAATGTTTCTTTTTTACTATATAAACTACAGTCACAAAAGTTTTTTAAGCAAACCAAACTACTACAAATGTAATATTAAATATTGTCATATATAAATATAATGCTTAACATGTGACAAATATAATATGTAACACAAACCTTATACATCTGGGATTTGTATAATGTTATCACTCCAATCATAGGGCTGGCGATTCCACTTGCTATCAATGATTGAATCAACTTGAGAGTAAAAGCAGCTTCTGCCACATTATGAAAGCTGTTATCTCTTTCAATCTGGAATAAGAAACAGAACCAAAATTATATTTCCCAGAAAGGCTACGGAAAGACCAAGTAAACCTACAAACAACAATAAAATTAAACGGAGAGACTAAATCGTGTTGACTTCCCTCAACACTAATGTCATTTACCTGTTCCAGTCCTTTAACATTATAGAAACACAGGGTGGGTAGCCACTCTAATAAAGGGCTCCTCTCTGTCTCTGAAATACCATTCAAGAGGTTTCCTTCATAAAATAGATCATTGGCAATAGCACTGATTGCAGGATGACAACGATACTGGGTTCTCAACAGAATTGGCTTGTGACCCTGAAAAATTTAAATGTAGAAAAACAAATTAAAACAGCATTTTTTCTCTTAAAAATGATAATATTTAAACATTTTTAAATACCACTATATTATATTCTTAGAGGATGAATTACAATCATGATACAATAAACCACAGATAAAAATATAAAAGAAGTTACTAGGAGATCTAGTTTCATGGTAGAGGGCTTGTTTAGAAATGTGTGAGGCTCAAGTTTGATCCCTAATAATGAAGAAAAATAAAAAATAAATTCATGGTAAACTATTACACTATAAAATTATAAAACATCAAACACATCAAATCTTCAACTTATGATTATCTAATAAGTTTAACACCTAACATGCTGGAATAAACCTAATAGTACAATTTTAAAATATCTTTTTAAAAATTAGAAAATGCTATTGGTAATTTTTTTATTTATTAACTTTCCTCTGTGGGTAGAGCCATTTTTTCAATCTGAATCTTCAAAAATGTTTCAATTTTCATTAATGCATCATAATATCCAAGTCTCTTCCAATCTTCCAGATCATGTCCTTTATTTGCAAAAAGTTCTGCAGTATTGCTAGAACATACCAAACACCTACAAGGAACTCTAATAATAATACTTGTATAATTAAAACAATATTGATGACTACATGGACAAAATATCTTCCATGGGGGAAAAACACATAAGAAATCAATCCTAACTACTCTATGGGGCACAGATCTGTCTACATTGATAAGTCCAAATCAGTAGGCATGTGAAACTCTTAGCAAAAATCATTATGTAAAAAAAATGCTCAAAGGATCATTATTTGTAATAGAAGCAACCAAATGTTCAATGTTAGAGAAGTGACTGAATAATATCCACACAATTTAATATTTAATGATTCTATATATTTATGACAAGAGATGGTTATAAAACTAACAATAATAAGGGGAAATGATTGAGTAGAGTAGAAAATTTAAAAAGGCAGAATAGAAATTATGTTTATTTTGTATGGTTTCAACTGTGTAAAAATACATACATCTGATATTTGCATATAGCCCTAGCATAAAAGATGGAAGAGAAAAATAATAAAATATTACAAAGGGTTTTGTCTTGGAGTGGTGAGGTTATAGATGCATTATTTTTATCTTTACTTTTTTGCAATTTAACACTTCCTATAATGAATACTAGATATTACCTATTTCTTTTACTTTAATTATGAACTAGCTTACATGTACAGAAAAGTAAATTAAATAATATGACATCCATGTGCCAAGCAACCAGACTTGTTATTAGCTTTGGTCATGTTTGCTTCACAACTCTCTTTGGTTAAAAATAAAGTATGACATATACAGCAAAATTCCCCCCACATTATTTTGCTCTACCACTTTCCCCAGAAATGATCTCAATCCTGAATTTGTTTTGTAGCATTCCCATGCACTTTTATATGTTGTGTATTACACTGGTATATGTCTATAAATAATATGTGTCATCTGACGTGTTTTTGAAATTCACATAAATGGCATTTTCAATAAGTATCCCTTTGCACCTTGCTTCTTTCAACATCCATTATATTTTTGAGAATTATCTGTATGGATCTAGTTCATTCATCTTAAAATTTCTATATTATTCTACTTGATGACTAAATCATTTTTCAGTCTATTCTTTATTTGCCCTTTAAAAATTTCCCCAAATAAAAATATACTTCACATTTTAAAAGGCATTAACAACAAATAAGTGGAAAAACAAAAAGCAGAAGAACATATATGTTACCATTTTTTTAAAACAAATGGGAAATAATTTATGTATTTGCTTCTACTATTATAAAATATCACTGGAAAGATATAAAAAAGGGATGACTGTTGCTGTGGGGAAGAGAAATAGTGATTGAGGGACCAAAGTAGAAGCTTTCACAGCCTCCATACTTGTGGTTCTTATTGAATACTGAACTAAGTAACTAGTGCCTACCCCAAAAATGCTTTTAGAATTTGAAAATTATTTTTAAATTAAGATTTTTTTTAAAAAGGTTTTTAAAAGTCTGGTTCAAAAGAAGCCATACACTTATAGGAGGGATAGAAATTTTGAATCTTATAATTAAAAGCTCAAGACAACTGAAAGCTTGGTTCTTTAGAAAACTGACTACAACTCAACTAAAAATTCAATGCAGTCAAATGTGGCGGCGTACACCTGTAATACCAATGGCTCAAGAGGCTAAGGCAGAAAGGACAGCAAGTTCAAGGCCAGCCTGGGCAATTTAGCAAGATCTTGTCTCAAAATAAAAAATAAAAAGGGGTGGGGATATAGCTCAGTGGTAGTCTTCCTGAGTTCAATTCCCAGTATGGCGGGGGGACCTCAATGCAACCTAAACCACAAAAGTAAAGGGGAATTATGAATTAAGAAAGAAAAAAAAACACTGCCTTGAAGAATCCATTCCCTAATATCTAAAGAAACAATAATAGAAAAATAAATAAAAATAAAAACAAAACTAATAACAGTAATAAAGAACCAAATTTAGCAGTTATGCAACACAAAAAGGTACATGGCTAATCTAATGCCATAAACTTTAAAAAAAAGGGCTCATCATCAGGAGTTAAATAAGATTCAGGGGTAAAGGGGAGAACTCAGCACCATGAGATTCCTAACCTAAGCTGCAGTGATATAATGGAAATGGCTCCTAAGTATAATAATAAAATAATAAATAAAATAAGAGATCCCCAAATCCAACCACTTGGAGTGAATTCTAGTACAGTATATTTAATGAAACCAACCTTAGATACAAGAGTGCACACATAAACTAATAAAGACAGCTGGGTGCAGTGGTGCACACCTGTAATCCCAGTGGCTCAGAAGGATGAGGCAGGAGGATCTTGAATTCAAAGCCAGCCTTAGCAACTTAGTGAGATCCTAAGAAATTCAGCAATACCCAGTCTCTAAATAAAATATTAAAAAGGGCTCAGGATGTGGATCAGTGATTAAGTGCCCCTAGGTTGGTTCAATCCCTAGTACCAAAAAACAAAAAAACAAAACTAATAACGACATCACATATGGCTAGCTGTGGTGACGCATGCCTGTAATCCCAGTGACTGAGGAGGCTAAGACGGAGGATCATAAATTCAACGTTAACCTCAGAAATTCAGCAAGAGATTCAGAAACATAGTGAGACCATGTCTCAAAATAAAATACATTGGCCGGGCATGGTGGTGAACGCCTATAATCCCAGCAACTCGGGAGGCTGAGGGATTATAGCCTCCATACAAAGTTCTGGAGTTCAAAGCCAGCCTCAGCATTGACAAGGCACTAAATAACTCAATGAGATCCTGTCTCTACATAAAATACAAAATAAGGCTGAGCATGTGGCTCAGTGGTTGAGTGCCCCTGAGTTCAATCCCCAATACCAAAAAAATTTTTTTTTATTAAATAAGATACATTGCTGCTGGGACTGCAAAATGGTGCAACCACTCTGGAAAGCAGTATGGAGATTCCTCAGAAAACTTGGAATGGAATCACCATTTAACCCAGTTATCTCACTCCTTGGTATAAAACCAAAGAACTTAAAATCAGCATACTACACTAATGCAGTTAATTGATATGGATATATTACATTGACACATTGATATGTAAATGTTTAGTAGAAGCTCAGTCCACAATAGCTAAGCTATGGAATCAACCTAGATGCCCTTCAATAGATGAACAGATAAAGAAAATGTGGTATATATACACAATGGAATATTACTCAGCCATAAAAAAGAATGATTTTACAATTTTGCCAGTAAATGGATGGATCTGCAGATTATCATGCTAAGTGAAAAAAGCCAATCCCAAACACCAAAGTCAAATGTTCTCTCTGATATTTAGATGCTAACACACATTAAGGGCAGGGGGAGAATAGGAATTCACTGGTTTAGACAAAGGGGAATAAAGGAAAGGGAGGGTGGATAGGAATAGAAAAGATGGTAAAATGAATCAGATATAACTTTCCTATGTTTGTATATGAATACACCACTAGTAAAACTCCATATCACATACAACCACAAGAATGGGATCCTAATTAGAATAAGTTATACTCCATGTATATATAATATGTCCAAATATACTCTACTGTCATGATATCTAAAATAATTAAAAAATAAAAATTAAAAATAAAGAGGGCTCAGGATGTAGCTAGTTGTAAGGGCCCTTGGGTAAAGTGCACCTGGATTAAATCCCTAGTACCCCCCAAAAGAAAAAAAAAGATAGTATATACATTCTTAACCTAGTTATCTTTCAATCCAACTTTAAACCCTTCTGCCACCAGGGTATCATAGAAATACAGAGAATATAGAATATAAATCTGAAAAAGCTTCCCTCCCCCACCAAAATACTGTCTTTGTTGGCTTTGTGCTATTATAACAGACTATCCGAGACTGGGTAATTTATAATAAATGGAAATTTACTTCTCATAGTTCTGGAGGCCAGAAAATACAAATTTAAGTTACAGCATCCAGTGAGCAACCAGTTTTTGGGGGTGTCAGGGGGTTACCAGGGATTGAACCCAGGGGTACTCAACCACTGAGTCGCATCCCCAGCCCTTTTATTTATTTTGAGACAGAGTCTTGCTAAGTTATCTAAGACCTCACTAATTTGCTGAGGATGGTTTTGAACTTCGATTCTCCAGCTTAGCCTCCTGAGCCACTGGGATTCCAGTGAACAATTTCTTGATGCATTTTCCCATGACAGAAGGCAAGAGGGTGAGGGGTTCAGGGTGCCAAAGGGGGGCATACTCCTTATATTAGTAATCCAATCCTATGATAATAGCATTAATCCATTTATTCAGATACAGCCCTCATGACCTAAACATCTCTAAAAGGTCCTACCTCCCAACACCTCCACATTGCAAATCAAATATCCAGCACATGAACTTTGGGGGACACATTCAAATCATAGCTGATACATTCGGAATTCATCTTAGACAAAGGCATAACCAAGGAACAGAAGAAAAATGTCCATAAGTGTTTAAACATTAGTATCAAATCCAAATATAATCCAGTAAAACAATCTCAGAAGTAAGATAATAAAAGGGAAATTTCAACACTAAAGAAATAGATTGGTTTTCAAGACAATAACTTTAAAGAACTAATTAACTGGGGCTGGGGTTGAGGCTCAGAGGTAGAGTGCTCAATGTGGTGCTGGGTTCAATCCTCAGCACCACATAAAAATAAAGATATTTTGTCCATCTATAACTACAAAACAAATATTAAAAAAAGAACTAATTAACTAAAGGAAGCCAAGAACAAATATAATTTTTTCACAAAAAAGTCACTACAACTCAACTTAAAATTCAATGATGAAGTCTCACACTTCTGTGCCTTAACATGTAAAATTTATTATGTTCCTTTTCCTATTAAAAAAAAAAAAGAAACCTCAAAGCAATTTGAAATTGAAATGTAAGAGAACAGAAATTAAATTTCTGATATAAGAGAAAGGTTCCATAGATAATGCAGATGAAAAATTAAATATAAATAAAAAACAGTTAACATTGGGGGAAATCTTAATGATATTGGATTTGGCAACAATTTTGTGGCTATGACATCAAAAACACAAGCAACACAAAATATATATAAATTGGACTTCATCAAAAATAAGAACTGTTCATCAAAGGATACTATGATAAAGTGAAAATACTACTTTTAGAATGAGAGAAAATATTTGCAAATCACATATTTGATACGGAATTAATATCCAGAATGCAGAAAGAAGTCCTACAATTCAACAAGAATTAAAGCCAATTAAAACATGGGCAAAGGACTTGAATAAGCATTTCTTCAAGAAGATATATAAATGGCCAATAAATGCATGGAAAATGTTAAATATCACCATCATTTGGGAAAACACAATGTAATACCACTTCACACTCATTAGGATGGCTATTGTGAATAGAAAATAACAAGCACTGCAGAGGATGTGGAGAAAGTGGAACCTTTGTGACTACTACCAAGAACATAAAAGAAATGTAGCTGGTATGAAAAACAGTTTGACAATCCCTCAAAAAGTGAAACAGAATTATCACATGACCCAGGAATTACACTTCTGGGCAGATACTGAGGAACTGAAAGCAGGGATTCAAACAGATATTTGTACACCAAAGTTCACAGTAGCTATAAATAAATAAATATATAAATAAAATAAAATATAAATAAAAGTTCACTATTATTTACAATAGTCAAAAAGTGGAAACCCAACCCAAATATCTATAACGAAATGTAGAATATACATACAAAGGAATGTTATTTAGCCTTAAAAAAGGAATGAAATTCTGGCACATGGTACAACATGGATGAATCTTGAAAACATACTAAGTTAATAAGTCAAAGACAAAAGGATATATATATATATATATATATATATATATATATTTTTTTTTTTTTTTTTTTTTTACATGAGGCATCTAGATTAGACAAATTCACAGAGACAGAAAGTACACTAGAGGTTACAGCTAGAGAGTTGGGGAGGGGGAATAGAGAATTATTGCTTAAAAATTACAAAGTTTTGTTTGAGATGATAAACAAGCTGTGGAAATGGATAGGTGATGCTTGTACAACACAAATGTACTATAGGGAAAAAAAGTAAAACATAGTCCTGATCTATAAGATGGTGAACCCCAAAGACATTGTACTGAGTAAAAGAAGCCAGTCACAAAAGATCATATATTGCATATTCCATTTATGTGAAAAATCCAGCATAGACAAATTCATATAGACCGAAAGCAGAATTGTGATCACCAGGGGGCAGGAGAAGAGGAAAATAACTGCTAAAATAAGACAAGGAAAAGTTCTGGAACTAGAAAGAGGTGATGGTTGTACAGCATTATGCATGAACTAAACACCACCGAATTATTCACTTTCATGTTATTTGAATTTGAATTATTTACTTTTATGTTATTTGAATTTCCCCTCCATTTTAAAATATACTAATTATTTTTTAAAGAGCTCCACATGGATAACAGTAGCATTAAAAGTTTCTTACATTTTAAAGCAAGAGCAATGTACTTACTACCCACTACTGAAGTACATAGGGAAAATATCCTTTCTATAAAGTCATGTTAAAATCACAGGATTCTAGGTATATTTAAGATGATACTTGTCTGGGGAGCCCCCTTGAACAGGAGCTATGCACACACCTTTAAATCCTGAGTAAAGAGGAACTGGTTTGGTATTGCACCCTGCAATGCACGTGGACTTTACCTCTGCTTGGATAAGAAAGTTGTAGCTCGGGGAGTGGGCGTCACCGGATGGGGTTGACCTGTTTGTTGTAATCCTACCCTTTTGCCCTTTTTTGGATAGAATATTCCATGGATTAGCTCCCCCATTAATAAAACCTGGGTTTGAGGCGCATTCTCTCTCTTTCTTGCCTGCCTTGCCTCTTTTGTGGGAGTTGGGTCAGAGGGGCCATCACAGAATCCAAAGAAAAAGGTATTTCTTTGTGTGTTATTATTTCATGCCAGCCCAGTTCACATGAAGTGACCCTAATTGGTTTAGTCATGTGTCACGACAAGTACTTTTAAGCTACTCCAATTATAAACTAATTAAGAAAAAGAACCAGGTTTTCTAATATTTCCATTCTGCTGTACCATGTATAATCATGTGTGATAACGCTCAAAGTACTTAACAACATGTACCATTATACAAAGTCGATCAAAAAGAGTTTGTTCCAATCCATTTTCATGAACTGCATCAGAACCTTGAATAGTAGGAGGCAGCTGTTTGGGGTCTCCAACAAGAATCAGCTTTTCACATTTAAACCTTAAAAACAAAATTTCAAAAATTAATCTAAGCAATGAGAAAAAGAGTATATTGACAACATTTATTGGATTTTCCAAAACATATTTTAAAAATAAAAATCCTAAGATGTGTATTGAGACCTGATAAGGCTAATAGTGCTAAAAAGTAGATTAAAGGCTTTGAAATGTTATCCATTAAAGAATCTTTTGCATAACTTATTTTTTTCCAAATAAACCCTAAGGAATATCCCTTCTCTCTTCATGGAGTTAGTATTTCAGAGAATACATACAGAAAACAATTATTTTTAGAATCCATAAACTCTTAGAATTAGAAGCTTTCTTATAATTGATTTTGCTTGTTTTAGAGGTGAGGTAAATTAGGCTCTCAGAAGCAGTCTTTCTAAATAGGAGTAAGATACAGTGGGAAAGAATCCAAGCTTTGTAAAGAAAGCTATTATTCAAATTTTAACTGTATAATATTCTATGGACATAGTGATTTATTTATTTTCTTTATGCTTCAGTATTCTTACCACTAACCTTATCAGTAATAACATCTTGCATGGCTGTTATAAAGATTAAATAAAGTAATAATGTATTCAGTATACAGTAGGTGCTATATTACCCCACTGTTCTCACCCAGGGCCTCATGATTCTTCCACCCCTGGCTCCTGGGTAGAGTGACCAACTCATTCTGGTTTGCCTTGGACTATCATAGTTTGAAAACCCAAACCCCCATGATTCAGGAACATCCCAATTCCCAAGCAAACTCTGACAGCTGGTACCCTACTCTCTTATTAACTGGGGACTGAGCAAGGCCTACTGAGTCCTAATCTGGTACTCTTTCTACTATCTGTAGGATTCCTCAAGAAGAAATGCTTTTTTTTTTTTTTTTTTTTTTGTGGTTTAGACTATATCCCCTTCCCCTAAAGATGCTTTAAAAGCACAATGTTTTTCTTGGCTAGGACAGCTTAGAAAATTTCATAGTCTTCTAAATTTTAGGAGACAAATTTTCGTTTTCAACTTGTTCTTCTTTATAAACTTTTATACTCTTTCATAACCCAAAAAATATTTTCAAAATCTAAACACTTGAATTATATCTGAGTAAGGGAACTAAAAGATATTCTTCATTGGAATTGGTTTCAAACTATGACTAAAGAGGAACTTTTAATCTGGTAGAGAAATCTGTAACATCCTAGGAGAATCCTAGCACTAAGGCTCTCAAGGCTTTAAGGGTTATGTGATTCAAATTTCTAAACTATACACTATCAAAATTTTGATGCATTTAATTTACTTAAAAAAAGTTTGCCTCTGTACTATTTTTAAAAATATGTCTATGTACTTGAATTGCTAGGAATTTTGACAAAATTTTGGTAGGAGTTTGAACTCAGAAATTTTTTTTTTTTTTGAGAGAGAGAGAGAGAGAGAGAAAATTTTTTTAATGTTTATTTTTTTGTTTTCGGCAGACACAACATCTTTAATTTGTATGTGGTGCTGAGGATCGAACCCAGCGCCGAGCGCATGTCAGGCGAGCATGCTACCGCTTGAGCCACATCCCCAGCCCTCAGAAAATGTTTGAAATAATTTTGACATGTGAGTTCTTTTGGAATTTTTTACGTTACCTTGCAATGGGAAGGAGAGCGGCTGGTTCTGTTATTTGACTACACTCATCCAGCACAACCACAGGGAACTGAAGGTCATTCATGCATGGGAATGGGCAGGCTGCACAGGTAACTCCAACTACTCGAACCTTTATTAAAATCAAAATGCTATTAGTTGACAACTATTAAAAGAAAATAAGAGAATATATTTACCAAAGAAATTGTAGGCTAAAATCAAAAATCATTTTATTTCTACATTTTTTATTATTCCCAATACAAAATGGAAATCACAGAATATAGGCTACTTAACTAAAAGCCCATTAATATGAACAAATAAAAGGTCCAGTTTGATATCCAGAAGGAAGGTATTATAAAAATCAATGATTTAAAAAACATCAAGGATGATGTATTTTACCTTCTAGATGAGCTTCAACAATACAACATGCATTATGACAACAGAGGCCAAAGTTCTTCACAAAGAACAATGAACATGCTAGTAAAATATCCTCTGCTTAACCTTGAAGCACACTAGGTACTTGTAGCCTTTAGTATATTTGAATCTTGCAAATCTTAAATATTAAGCAGAATGCCATTATTCTCAAGCAAAAAGCCTGAAAATCTAATATTTAATCTCTATAGTTAAATAGAAAAATCGTTGAATTGTTTAAATGATGTGGCCATTGGTCTTGTAGCTTATTAGCTGTACACATGCACATACATGAGTACATAAATTTGTGTATATGAGTATAAATATGTATATATACACCCTATGCATATTCCCTTCTAATAATCTCAAGTACAATTACACTTCCTCATAGCAAGGGCAATCCATATAAACTGATCATCTCTTCTTTCAACAAATGTGATTTACAAAAATATGATTTACAAATTACATATTGCTTCCACAAAGCCTATGAAATAAGAAAATAATATAAACACTTAATTTTCTTAATAAATAACATTACACAAAATAGCTCTGTAACAGGTTTACCTTCTTTTGTCAAAAAGAGAAACAAAGGGCTGGGGATGTAGACCAGTGGTAGAGCACCTACATAACATGCACAAGGCCCAAAGACTGCAAAAACCAACAACTACAACAAAAAATCCCCAAAACAAACATCCTAAAGTCATACTTATATTAGAAATTCCACAGGATTTATTCAGTTCTTTCAGAATGTTCAATCCTTGAAGCTCATATTTTGCTTTTGGCACCACTTTGAAATATCATTTGTTGTCTAACTCTTGTAACTACATCTAACAACTTTTAAATAAGGATCTTAAGTTTATAAATCAAGAAGCATTTTTTTAATGCTTTAATTTAAGGAAACATCTATGATGGGAATGTACTTAGTGGTAGATCCCTTGCAGAGCAAGGCCCTGGTTAAACCCTTAGCATTGGGGGAGTCGAGGGGGGGGAAATACACACACACACACACACACACACACAAACACATATTTATACACACACAAATATATACATGAAATATACATACAAATATATATTACATGTATAAATACAAAAAGCCTAATTATGATTTTTCTTTAAAGAATTGTATTACTTTTATCTTTTAATTTATTATTATACTACTGAGACTCAGACAATAGAAGAGATTTTGTTATTGACCAGGGGTAGTAAGTAATTATGAAGCATTTTTATAAATGAGTTTTATTGTAAAGACATATCACTTTAGAAATGTGTCAGGCCTGATTGCTTTATTAGACTGAGAAATTTTAGCAAAGTATTTTTAAAATACTTCCTCTAAAATAGTTTTCATTGTACATAGGTAATAGCAATGAGCAATATATTATTATAACTGGACTTTTATTTAGAAAATTACCAAAGAAACCATTAGCAGTTATTCTGATATATCATTATTATATTGGGGGAGTAAAATGGTAAGAAGATTACATAAATGGTTAATTTGTATTCGCTGAACACAGACAAACTAAGCCCCTCTAGAATTAAAGAGAAAGCGGTCCAGAGTCAACCCTAAAATTCAGATCACAAAAAGTTAGTCTCAAGTCCTCTGAGAACTTTTAGACCCAAAACTTGTGTACTGGTTATTACTCCCAATATGTCCCTTCCTCCCCATGAGATTAGTCTTACATAACCATACCCTTTGCTGTGTGGCTTTGCAGTATTTCCCACTAGAGAGGTAGGCAGAATGTATTTCCCTACCTCATTGAGGTTGAACTTGGTTATATGACCTGTTATAAGAAATAAAATATTGGCAGATATGATGTGAATAGAAGCTTTAAATGTGATCTAATTTATCCTCTGTTGACTACTGCCATCTGTCAAGAGAACATCTATCATGCTGTAGGGCAAACCCAAGAAGACTATAGTTAGGGTCCCTTGTGGAGTCTTCCAGCAGGTTATGTTTTTAGTGTAAAGCCAAGGTCATGAGCACCCTGATTCAGCATATGCAGTCAAGTTCATAAGCATCTGCTTGTAAGCATGAGCTCACTTATGTAACCTGTTGGCAATGTGCTTTCTTTGGTTGCACAAAAAGAAAGGCCTTGGGGCTGATGGCTGCTTCCACCTCTGAATAAAGCATGCCATGGGCAGTTTTCTAAGAATGAGAGACCAAAGCTGAGATAACACCAGTTGACCTGTAGAGTCAAAAGCTGTTGTCTTAATTTTGCCGGGCATGTTGGCATAGTCCCATAACCCCAGCTACTCAGGATGCTGACAAAGGAGGATCATCAAGCTTAAGGCCTGTGTGGAAAAATTAACGAGACCCTGCCTTGAAATTAAAAAAAAAAAAAAAAAAAAGGTATGGGGATGTGGCTCAGGGGTAGAGGGTAGCTGCACTGGTACTCAATCCCTAGTACCACACACACACACCAAAAAAGTATTGATAATTATATTTTATTTATTAAGTAGTATTTTAGAAACAATTATCTAATACAGGGTCTCAAAAGCAGGATGTCTTGCAGAAAGTGACCAATGTTTGTGTGGTCCAGGAAACCAACAGTTTTCTTTTTCTCCAGTTTCCTTTCTTTTCCCTATGTTCTCCTTTCACAGGAGAAAGCTATTACTACTGGGGGAGTAACAGCTAATGCCCAGGCTACACTGATGAGAACTTGATTAAGAGGATGATGCTCCTTGTTAAAGCTTGGAATCCTATGTGGCCAATTTTGGCTCCCAGTGCCTGGAAGCAAGTGTCTGTGCCTCCTGGATTCTTGGATATAGTCAGGCCCTGGAAAGCCTTGGCTTTCTAGGAGAGCATCAAAGACAAATTTTCACTTTGATAATTTGCCCATAGTCAGAACTTTTCTTTACTTCTAGAAAAACCAATTTCATTGAACATGCCAGGAATCTATTCCAAAACTCTTCTCTTTCCTGTTCAAGTTTATAAAAAGATATGCAAATAGGAAGAAGAAGAAAGAATGACTCAGGCCTAGTAAATAGAGTCTGTTCACAAATTTGAAGACTGCTTTGTGGCAAACATAAAACATGCACTGGGTCAACTGCATCCAAGGTTACAGATATACAAACCTAACTGAATCTAAGCTACCATGTCAGTGTGTTTCACTGAAGAAAATATTCTTCCATTAACAGAAATTAGGAGAATCTGAGTAGTGTCTATAAATTAAGAAGCAAACTAAAGCTATTTCCCCTTACCTGCTTCAGCAGGGTTTTGTTGGTCCCCAGTTTATGCTGCTCAATACTTTTTCTTACATAGACTCTTTCCACAGGGGTCAGATCTTCTTTCATTAGTGCATGTAGTTCTTTTAACTGTTCATTTTCATTTTCTGAACCAGCATGCAAGCTAAAAAAAGAATTACATAAAAAAGTACTTCTTTTTTTTTTTTTCCTACCAGGAATTGAACCCAGAGGCACTCAACCACTAAGCCACATCCCCACCCCTTTTTTATATATTTTATTTTGAGACAGGTCTTGCTAAATTGCTGAGGTTGGCTTTGAATTTGTAATCCTTCTGCCTCAGCCTCCCGAGCTCCTGGGATTACAGGTGTGCACAGTGCCCAGTAAAAAAGAGTACTTCTCTTTATTTCATTTTTCATATATCACAAAACAGCAAAATATAGATTTGATATTCTAAGTTAGATTTTCTAATTAGACTTTCTAAGCTAACCAATGAAAAGATAAGGCTTTCCACTCTTATTTAAAAATCAAATTTAACGTAAGAATTATTTAAAATTATCATAATTCTCTGAATATCCTGTGGCTTTCAGAATTTAGCATCTTACCTATAAGGTAAAATTGGTTTGGCAATCTTTCTTACACTCCCAACTCTGATAAACTTTTCAAATCCAAGGCTGAGAAGGCTTTAAAGAAACAAAATAAAATAGATATTATTTACAAGATGAAATATAAAACTAGGTTTCATATAATACTTATATTAAAACTTATTTGTATAACAGTATATTTTAGGGTTATATAATTTAATGTAAAATTACTAAAGTCAAATCAAGTAAATGCTACACAGTTAAAAGAATTCTTTTATAAAACACATTTTGTAGAGATTTCTGTTAATATATATATTTTTTTCCCTTTTGCAGTGATTGTGATAAAACCCAGGGATTTGTGCGTGCTGGGCAAGTGTTTTTACCCCTGAGCTACATCCCCAGTGCCATTTTATAGAGATTTTTTAAATATTTATTATTTTCTGCTGAGGGCTCATTTAATATTTGTAAAACACCAATGTCAGTATTTGTCACAAATAAAATTACCCCTGAATATAGTAATATGGAAAGCAACAGATATCATATATTTAGCATCAAGATTTAAGAAGAAGAGCTTCATTATATATGTTATCTCAATTAATACTCACTACTGCTCTACACATTATCTCATGTTAAAGATTAGGTCAATGGCTGGGCACAGCGGCGCTGTAATCCTAGTGGCTAGGGAGACTGAGGCAGGAGGATTGAGAGTTCAAAGCCAGGCTCAGCAACACCCCATTTCTAAATAAAATATAAAAAAAGGCTGGGGACGTGGTTCAGTGGTTAAGTGCCCCTGGGTTCAATCCCTGCTATCAAAAAAAAAAAAAAGAGATGAGGAGAATGAAGCTCAAAGTTAAAATAACTTTACTGAGGCCACATCATTAAAAAGTGAATTCAGCCATGATTCAAACCAGGCTGGCCTGTATATGTCCACAGGCTATGATCTTATCCTATATACATTATCCATGACTAGGGCTTTGTGCGGAAGGTACCTTCATCTACCCGTCCCTCTTACTTATAGCTATAGCTGTTTGCTAAGAACAGAGTTGGTGCTCAATAAATATCATATCCTCTAAGACACCTCTACCACCTCAAAGTGAGAATTTAAAGACCTGGAGGACGAAAGCAACTATAGCCCTCCAAAAAGAGTTTTCAAAAATAACACCAAAAAACAAACAACCCAATCAATAAATGGGCTAAGGAGCTGAACAGACACTTCTCAGAAGATATACAATCGATCAACAAATATATAAAAAAAAGATTCAACATCTCTAGTAATTACAGAAATGCAAATTTTTTAAAAAATAATATTTTTTAGTTGTAGTTGGACATAATACCTTTATTTTATTTGTTTTTATGTGGTGCTGTGGATCGAACCCAGGGTCTCGCACGCGCTAGGCCACAACCCCAGCCCCAGAAATGCAAATTAAAACTAAGATTTCATCTCACTCCAGTCAGAATGGCAGTTATCAAGAATACAAGCAATAATAAGTATTAGCAAGGATATGGAGGGGGAAAGGCACAATCATACATTGCTGGTGGGACTGCAAATTGGTGCAACCAATCTGGAAAGCATTATGAAGATTCCTTGGAAAACTTGAAATAAAACCACCATTTGACCTAGGTGTCCCACTCCCCAGTGTATATCCAAAAGACTTAAAAACAGCATATTACAGGGATGCAGCCACTTCAATGTTTATAGCAGCACAATAGCTAAACTGTGGAACAACCTAGATGCCCTTCAATAGATGAATGAATAAAGAAACTGTGGTATATATACATAATGGAATATTACTCAGCATTAAAAGAGAATAAAATTATGGCATTAACAGGTAAATGGATGGAGTTGGAGAATATCATGCTAAGTGAAATAATCCAATTCCAAAAAAACAGGGGGCAAATGTTTTCTCTGAGAAGTAGATGCTAATCCATAATGGGGTGGGGGGTCATGGGCTGAATGGAGAAACTTTGGATGGGGCAAAGGAGATGGGGAGAAGGGGCAAGGGGGTAGGAAAGATGGTGGAATGAGACAGACATCATTAACCTAGGTACATGTATGATAGCATGAATGGTATGATTCTACTTCATGTACAACCAGAGAAGTGAAAAATTCTGCTCCATTTGTGTACAATGAATTAAAGAACTTTCTACTGTCATGTATAACTGATTAGAACTAATAAACTACTCATCATCATCTGGGAAACACTCCCAGTGAAGGATTCTTTTAGGCTTATATTTTCTCCATCAAATGTTTACCACTTCTCCTCAGCACCTAATTTGATTTTATTTCTGGTATTTTATTTCTGCCAGCTTGCCTTTATTGAGTCTTTCAAAGTATTTATCTTAGTTTTATTAGAAATAACCTGTTACATTAACATTTCTCTGGTTTATACATTTCATTAAATCAGGTGATAAAAAAATAATAATTATGAAGAAATTTATTTAGTGTCAATACATAAATAGATATCATTTTTTTTAATTTTTCATAGTCCTCATTATAAAGAAGTCAGCTACTTTCAGTCTGAAATACTAGTTTACATTGTTTTTAATATGTTTATGTTAAATCTGTAACAATAAAGGGCACAGTATCCTCAACCTACTGCTACCACAGGGTAAAACGTATGTGTATTTACCCATACTTCTTCATTTCTTCTCAAGAAACTTTGTCCTATCCTGTCCATTACAATAACAAAATATATTGTCTGTTCAAATGCACAACAAAAATGTTATCTTACTGTGAAGAGATACATAGGTTCAGCCTATCTGTGGCTGAGGCAACAATTCTAATTACAGACTTACATTTCTCAGGTCCTTTTTAAAGACTCAAACATTAAAGAATCTCTTTTAAGTGTTTCCTTTTAGTATTTAGTACTTACCCTTCATTCTAACTTCTTGATTTTTTTTTTTTTTTTTTTTGGTTTTCTAACAGTCTACTCTGATATTTTTATTGTAGGTTTAGCAATGTAATGTTCTTTCCTGTGTAGTCCCCAGATAACTTCTCAGTATCTTAAAAGTAACAATGTCATACTCAGCTACTCTTAAATTTCTCATAAATCTACACAATGGTAGAACTTTTCTGAAGGGCAATTTTGCAAAATTTATTAAAAAATTTAAATATGTTCCCATCTTTTATTCTTGGCTTAGGCTTGTTTCCTAAGGAAAGAATCAGAGTATGATAAAGATCTATATTGAAGGATCATTGCCACAATATAATTTATAATGGTAAAAATTTGGAAAGAACTTATTGATCAAAATTGTTTAAATGGTACAAGAAAATCACTGAATATAATAGAATTATTAAAAATTATGTTTTCTAAGATGTAATGCCACAGAGAAATAACTTTTAAATAAAAAAAAAGACACAGAACACTGCATATTGTTAGATCCCACATTTAGAAAGTGTACATGTATAAAAAAAAATTGTGAAGAAATGTAACAAAATATAAACTACAAAATCTGCATATTTTAACCATAGCATTAATTTATGTGATTATAAAAGTTAAATTTTTAGGACTCAGGATGTAGATCAGTGGAAGAGCGCTTGTCTAGCAGCATGCTTGAGGCTCTGTGTTCAATCCATAGTACCATAAAAACAGAGAGAAAACAAAGTTAGTTTTTAAGAAGACTAGACTTGTAAATAATGGATTATTTCTCCTATTAAAACTCATAAAATGACAAAGTTTTTTGGTGAAAAATTAAAAATGTAAAATATTCTGTGTAATTTTCTTTGCATTTTTAAAATCTTATGCAATCACAAAAATTTGATATCTGCAGAATAGAATGCTACTGTATTCTTTGGATCCCTCTCACTGAAATTAAAAACATAATCTACTTAAACTGTTCAGCTTTGTTAATAGTGCATATTTTAAGGCAGATGAATAAGATATTGTTGAATCCCAGACTGTTGGTTCTGAGATTTTAGTCTACTTCTAAGGTAACAGACCCAAGATTCATGGGTCAGAAAGGACTTTTACCCATGGCACAGAAAGCAATGTGGATATCATAGTATTTGAATCCCTTTGTCCCCAAGTTTCATAGGAAGATGAAGAGTATCCCCATGGATAACTGCACCTGCAGTGGATTGAGTTAGAGGACAAGAACACTGAGATGGGAGATCCACTATCTTTAAAAACAAGTAGTAGGCAAGTTCTTAGTCCTGAAGGATAATATTAACTCATCAGTTAAAACTGCTTGCTATAAAGACTACCCTGAGAAATGCCCACGGTGGATTACCTCCCCCGCAATACAATGTAGCCCTGCGTGTTAATTGAAACTGAATTTTTATATGAATACCCCATCTTTTTTATTTTTTTTAAGTTGTAGATGGACACAATATCTTATTTATTTATTTTTATGTGGTGCTAAGAATGGAACCCAGTGCCTCACACATGGTAGGCAAGTGCTGTGTCACTGAGCTACACCTCCAGGCCCATGAATATCTCATCTTGATGCCAAAATTATCAGGTTTGGTATTTGATTTTATCCTACTTATTTTTTTTAGTATTTATTTTTCAGTTTTCAGTGGACACAACATCTTTATTTTATTTTTATGTGGTGGTGAGGATCGAACCCAGCGCCCCGTGCATGCCAGGCGAGCGAGTTACCGCTCGAGCCACATCCCCAGCCCAATCCTACTTATTAATTAATAGTTTAGCTTGTTACTTAGCACAGATGCTAGCTTCTGGGTATAAGACAATAGCCTTGAGTACTTGGCATACCCACCAAGGATGTACATAGAAACTCAGGGCCTGTGGTGGATTGCCTCTCTCAACAATAACCTAAAACATCAGCTACTCAAATACACTTGTCATACCTACCCAAGAAGTACTCTGTCAACAGCTACATTAGTGGAAGAAGAAATCAGAAGTTTCCATGGCCTTGTATTTGCAACTGTAAGAGCTTCAGTCTTTTCAAATAGTTGTACAAAGAACAAAATCACCACTGCCAGCAAATAACTCTTCCCTGCTCCAAAAACACCTAATTATTTTAAAGAAAGAGAAAAAATTAAAGTGATATAATAAACACATTACTGAAAGTACAAGAAATATTTAATCTGTCACATTCTCCTTTATTTAATTATTTGAAAAAATTGACTGCCCACTATGGAATGACTAAATAATTAACAAAATACTTCTACCTTTAATGAGACCACAGTCAACCTAATAGGATAAGCAGATAAAGAGATAATACAAAAGAATATGGTAACACTGTTATGGGATCAGAGAAAGAAGAACATCTCCTTTGGTGGAGAGGGGGATGTTACAACAGAGTTCGTAGCTATTAAAAATTTTGTAAAAGAACTTTAAGAATTTCTATAAATAGCAAACAGGCAAGAGATGAGGCAAGGGACAAATCACAAGAGGTTAAACATATGTTTTTTATGACTGAAAAATCTGAATCTTAAAGGTTAGTGGAAGTCATTGAAGGATTTTAAGCAATATAACTGACTTATCAAATTGTCTGTGTGTGTGTGTGTGTATGTTTAGCAAGTGCCCTACACTGAGCTACATCTCCAGCCCTCAGATAGTTTTTGAAAACACTATTTGGAGCCAGGCATCATGGTGCATGCCTTTAATCCCAGCTACTCTGGAATTAATGGAGTCTGAGGCAGGAGTATTTATTGCAAGTTAAAGGTCAACCCTGGCAACTTATTCAGACCCTGTCTCAATATAAAAACAAAAAGGGCTGTGTACATAGCTCAGCGGTAGTATTAGAAAAAATAAATAAATAAACAAATACAGAGAAAGGAAACCTAAAGGTGGATCAATAAGAAAATTGTGTGAGATAATCCCAACGTAATAAATACTAAATTTACTAAGCGTATTCCATTGTGCCAGATACTGTTCTAAGCATTCACTTACGTTGAGTTATTTAATCCCCCACCCCTCTGAGGTAGATGCCGTTATCATTTCCATTTTACAGAGCAGGAAATTAAAGCTAAGAGATAAGTGATGTGTTCAAGATCATATAGCTAATAAATGAAAGAGCCAAAGGCAGAATTCTAGCTCTAGAGACTACCCTCCACCGAGTAGGCCACGTGGAGATCTGATGATGGACTGGAATGTGTGGATTCAAGTAAACTGGAAGGAGAAAATCATTATGAAGGATGGATAGCAAGCAGTCAGATGGGACCCACCTCAGTGATTGTTCTGATGTGGAAAGATAAACAGTAAGAAAGTAGAAGATTAAGTAGAGAACTAACCTATGGAGAAATGAGCTACACAGAAGCCAAAATACAGAGAAAGGTATTAATTCTGAATAAAAGAAAATAGAGCTCCCTTCACCTGGACAGAGCAAAAAAAAAGGGTAAGAATGAGTCTAAACTTACGTAAATTGAAGGAGCTCAGGACATTAAAAGAAGTTTCTGTTACAAATTTAATTCCTATTTTAGAGGCAAGATCAATTTCAGAGGGGTGGAGGAGGGGCAAGGATGGGGTTATGAGAACAAGGAAGTTCTGGAATAGCTGCTGTGGAAGATGAAAGAATAAACAGAGTAGGAATATAAGCTTTGCTGATAAGGATTGAAGTCCAGTCTAACAGAAGAATACACAGATATCTAGACCAATCTGGACTCTTTAGCAATGACTAAATAATGCTGACCATTCATCAGATATGCTACCAATTTTTCGTTTCAAGGTAGTCAGATGTGCTCTAATTTAACAGTTTACTCAAGTGGGTTCTGGGTTCAAGTTTAAAAGTATTTACTCACAGTTATTCTGGACTAGGATATTACGAAAAGATTACCTTATATAAGTTTACATAAAAATATATTTACTAGGACTGTTTTCTTGCTTCTTACCATGTATGACTGTGATAGGGAGGGTATGGGTGTGCAGTTCCTTCCCTTCTTCAACACTTTCACGGGATGCCATCATTTGAGCTATCTGAATTAGAGCTGTAGCTTGGTCCTTGTTTAACTTGTGTGTCTGAATTAACTCACTAGCTAACTGCAATGTTTCTCCCAGGCTAAGTAGTTCAAATTTTGTACTGATATTTGCAAAGGCTGGTGGGATAAATTTTCTCTTATTTTCTCTCTTGTTGCTAACTGTAGTTGACGGAGACCTAGTAAAAAGGCAACAAATCACAAACTTATTCACAACTGGCCTTCATTTTATAAACACCACAGAAAACATTTTGTGGGTAAGATGGGGAGGACATATGGATACCAGCCTCAACTTAGAGAAGTGTGCAAGAAGACTAAACTTTGTTCAATATTTCCTATCTGTGTCGTGAGTCTACATATTTTACACATTACTTTATATAATCTTCAACAACATGAGGAAGTTAATTATTTCAAATACAGATAGATATATACAAATATTAAAATGTTTCCCCAAAACTCAGCACTGTTAAGAATCAGATAATTAACAGTGTTTATTTCAGGTAAAACTGAAAATATATAAATGCTTTTATTTCTATTTCTATAAAGGTTCAATTCATTTCAATTGCACAAAAAAATAATGGAACCATAAGGATATTTTTTAATTAACCATAAATCTCTTTTGTTTTGACTAGGATATTACGAAATATAATATTTAAGTAAATTTAATTAAACTTGCAATTTTTAATATAATTTTTTTATTTTGGAATTTTTATTTGCTGGAGTTCCAAAGATAACAGAGTATTCCTAAATATTCCTCACCCACTTCTTCCCCTTATGTTAACTTTTTACAGTGCCAAGAAATATTTGTCAATACCAAAAGACCAACATTTGTTCATTACTATTAAACTACAGTCTTCTTTCACATTTTATGTTTCCTAACTTCAATATCTTATTCTACTCTAAGATCCAAGTCAGATTATCATACTACATATAGTAATCCATAAGGATATGTTTTACCTAGAATTTCATTGGCATGAGAAAAGCAAAACACTCCAAATGAGTAATAACAATCCAAATTGGAAAAATGGACTTTTTCTATTATTTGAATGCATTTAGGACACTATAACTTTCCATTTTTTAAAAAGGATCTTGGTGTTTGAAAAATTAACTGGTAATGTTAAGAATAAAATCAGGGCTGAAGTGCTTGCATGGTATGTTTGAGGGCCTGGGTTTGATCCTCAGCACAGCATATAAATAAACACTAAAAAAAATTAAAATTAAAAAACAAAGAATAAAATCAAGTCAAGTTGGTGGGGCATGCCTATAATCTCAAAGGCTGGGGAGGCTGAGGCAGGAAGATCACAAGTTCAAAGCCAATCTTAACAAACAGCAAGGCCCGAAATCTGTGTATGGGGTGAAGGTGGGAGTTCATAACCCACTTGAATCGAAGTGTGGAATATGATATGTCAAGAAATTTGTAATGTTTTGAACAACCCACAATAAAAAATTAAAAATATTAAAAAAAAAAAAAAAACAAATAGCAAGGCCCTAAGCAACTCAGTGAGATACCTTCTCAAATAAAAAAAATTAAAAGGGCTGAGGATGTAGCTTAGTGCTTAACCACCCCTGAGTTTAATTCTTGGTACCAAAAAAAAAAAAAAAGAATAAAATCAGTATTGACATATGCACTGTATGCAAGCTGTAAAATAATTCTTATAAATGCCAAATAATATACAGTATCAAACTATAGATGAATTATTAAATCATCACTCCAAAGATCTTTAGAATATTATCCCTTGATACAGAGAAAAAATTCACAGTACTTATTTATTAGCCCAAACCACAATACATAAATAAATAAATAAATGGTAAATTTTGCATATTTCCCTTTCTCTTTTTATTTTTTCAAATTTTGTTTATTTGTGTGGGGGGATGTATTGGAGATAGAACTCAGGGACTTGTGCATGCTAAGAAAGTATTCTATCATTGAACTGTGTCCCCTACCCCCTTTCTCTTCTAATTAATGACAGTAATTTCATATTCTAAAAAATAATTAAACTTTTATTTGTAAAATTTAAATAATGTACTTTTATTGTATTTTTATATTCACTTTCAGTTATCATTTTTTAATACCAACAACCCAAAGATAAATGATGACTTACATTGTTAACAAATATGGCATTAGAGGTAAAGCAGCTGGATTAAAGTAGTCTTGAATATTTTTCAAAGTCGTCAGCTCTGTGCTGGCATTACAAACTAATAATGCATGGACCACTGCTATAAAGAAGATGAGAAAATGAACACTTGATGAAAATAAAATGACACATAAAAAACTGGATTAAATGTCTTTATACCTCAGAGTTCAACTATTAAATTAATCATGACATAAAATAAACCTTTAAGTACATGCAGAAATGTCTGTGAACTTCTATCCATTGAATTACTATGCTATCTACTCATTCTCTTTCTATGAGTATACATAAATTGCATAACTTAAATCAAATTTAGAGTTCTGCATATCAGTAAATGAATAAGAACACCTGTTTTGAGTTAGTGCACTGAGGCACTGCTTGATGGCCAGCAGTTCTCTTTAATCAGCATACCAGTTGAGCTGTACGGAAGTACTTGTGTAATTTTAAAATATTCTCTTGCATGTCTTTCTTAATTATTTTATTAAAATATATGGAAAACAGGAAATTAGCATGCTGATACTGGTAAGTAAATAACTGCAACAAATATGAAAATCTCCATATGAGAAGGATAAACGTTTATTAGTTTTTTATTAGATTTATGCTGGTTGGACTAGGTTTGTTCAGTTAAAAAAGGAAAAATCAAAATCTAAAAGCAACTATGAAATAATATGAATATGTCATTAAATGCTTTGTCTGGATCAGTTATGAACCAAATTCAACTATTAGAAATCATTAAGAGATCAAAATGTACAGATAAGTTTACAGATTCATAGAACTAAATATGAATTCAACTTACTAAAAGTTTCTTTATTACAAGAAAAATTTGGTGGGTAGCCTGCCTTATTAATAATTTTTCAAAACAAATAAGATATTCTCAAAGCAAAAATCATACTCTTCTGGCTCAATTCAACCTAAAATCTTCAGGACCTTCCCAAGGTGAAAATAAATTATTCACTAAATATATTTTCAAATAAACCATAAGGATTAGAACTTGATGCAAGAAGTTCTTTGAAAAAATTCTCATTTGTACGCCTATTGTTTGTACTTTTAAAAAGTCAAATATAAACTTATAAAATTCAACTTTAACCTAATGCTTAAATGAAGATTCAAGATTTCATTATATTGCTTGCCCTATGGGACTTGAACCCCAGAAATAATGATGTATTAAATTTTCATACACATTTTCAGAAACTCATTGCATATAATAGGAGAAACCACTATAGCTTTAAACACCATCGGTTTGTTGGCTTTAAACAATCCCACACACAGTTAGTTAGCATTAGTGCTCAAAGTTCATCATATGTCTATCAACCTTTTAAAATACAAATTAAGATACACATGGTAATACTTACTGTTAGTAGGCCAATTAGAAGGGAAATAACCTTTCAAGGGCAGTAGCTCCACCTCATTGAGAGATGATGGTCCAAAGAAAGCACTGCATGCAATAAAAGTATCCAGTTCAAAGTCTAGGGTTTTTGAAATCACCCAAAGATCATCTAAAAAAACAAACATTTTACCCCCAGCTTTATTGAGGTCTGAGTGACACAAAATTGTACATAATTAATTAGGTTGTATGACATGTATTCTTGAGGTAAGTAGGCTGCTGGGGAAAGAACCCTGGGCCTCACAAACGCCAAGCACATGCTCTGTCACCAAGCTATGATCCCAGGCACAACGTGATATTTCCACATAAGTATACCTTGTAAAATGGTTTCAACAATCTAACTAATCAACATGTCCATCACCTGACAGAGTTATTTTTGTGTGTGTATGTATAGTGAGAACTCTTAAAATCTATTCCCTTTGCAAACTTCAAATACATGATATGCTATTATTAACTATAGTTATGCTGTATATAGGATCTCTAGAACTTGCTTATAAGTAAGTTAGCACTCTTTGACTACTATCTCCCCATTTTCTGTATCTCTCAGCTCTTAGAAACCACCATCAGGTGTTTCTCTAAATTCAATTTTTTTTTTTTTTTTTTTTTTGGTGGGGGTGTGTTTTGTTTTTGTTTTTATACAAGGGATTGAACCCAGGGTGCTTAACCACCAAGCCACATCCCCAGCCATTTTTAATATTTCATTAGATACAGGGTCTACCTGAGTTGCTTAAGGCCTTGCTAAGTTGCTGAGGCTGGGTTTGAACTTGTGATCCTCCTGCTTCAGCCTCCTGAGTTGCTGGGATTACAGACATGTGCCACTACACCCAGCTAAATTCAATTGTTTAAGATTCATATATAACATTGCCAAATTTGTGTCTGCTTATTTCACTTAGCATAAAGCCCTCCAAGTTCATACATGCTATCACAAATATTAGAATTTCCTTCTTTTTCGAGACTGATGTATATTCCATGGTATAGACATATAAATTTGTTTTCTTACTGAGTTGTTCTAGTTCCTTATATATTTTGGATGTTAATTCCTCATCAGATATATGGTTTGCAAATATTCTCTCCCATACTATAGGGTGTCTCTTCATTCTTTTGATTGTTTCCTTTGCTATATAGAAGATTCTAGTTCGACATAATACATTTGTCTATTTTTTTTTTTAGATGTCCATGCTTTTGAGTTCTTACTCAAAAAATCTTTGCCCACTGAACAAATACCTTAGATTGATTGTTCTTTGTTTCATAGATGGTGCTTGTTGCAGTGTCCTCACATGGTAGAAGGGGCAGAAGGCCATGTACTCAGATGGCAGAAGGGACCAAAGGGGCTAGGATATTTCTTTTTTATTTTTTTAGTTTTAAGTGGACATAATATCTTTATTTTACAATTATGTGATGCTGAGGATGGAACTCAATGTCCCTGCATGCTAGGCAAGCACTCTTGCCACCACTGAGCCACAATCCCAGCCCCTGGGATATTTCTTTCATGGGACTTAAGTTTCAATATATTAATTTGTGAGGGGGACACATTCAGATCATAGAAACTACTTTAGGGGAGTAAAATTTCTAATCAAGAGGCTGAACTAACTACAAAATGGGATCCTAATTAGAATAAATTATACTCCATGCATGTATAATATGTCAAAAATACATTTATCATGTATATCTAAAAAGAACAAATTTTTAAAATGGGGGAAAAAATGAGTCTGAACTAGAATGATTGCTGGCTCCCTTCCTGCAGGGAATAGAGAGAGAAGTAGAGAAACCCTATGGAGCTGGAATGTTGTTTTGAACTGGAGTGCCTAGAGTGTATCACTGATGATTCTGTCCTCTTCCACTTACTACTCCTCCTTTTTTTGTGTGTGTGTATTTGGTGCTGGGATGAAACCCTGAGCTTTGTGCACGCTAGGCAAGTGCTCTACCACTGAGTTACAACTCCAGCCTAAGATTCTGTTCTTACTTTCCACTGGCCCTCTCCCCAGGCCCCAATGCCCTGGAACAAATAGTACCTTGCTATCCATAAGTTAATTCACATTTCTGGTCTAGAAATCCTCTGTGCTACAGTTTGGATACTGAATGTTCCCCAAAGGTCTATGTGTTAAAGGCTTAGTTGCCAGGGTGGTACTACTGGGAAGTAGTGGAACCTTTGAGAGGTAGGACCTAGTGGAAAATCGTTAGGTCATTGGGGGCATGCCCCTAAAGCAGATTTTGACAACAGGATTCGTCTATCCTTTTTTTTTTCTGGCTCAGGAGGTCAATAGTTTATGTTTTCTGTGTGCTCCTGCCTTGATATGCTGTCTTGTTAGAGGCCCAAAACAATGAAGCCACTTGATCACAGACTGGAACTGCCAAAACAATGAGACAAAATAAATCATTTCTCTTTATAAGTCAGTTTTCTCAGGTATTTCATTACAGTGATAGAAAGTTGACTAATATTGTTAGAGTCTGTAAACAAGTCAAAATAACACCTGGCATTTAGCCAGGGGAATGTTAGAGTTTGTAAACAAGTCTGGATGGTGCCTGGCAAAATGCCAGAGGGAGTGGTTTGAAAAGTAACAAAAGCGAGCTATTAAGTGTGGAGATTCCTTATTGGTTGACTGATGTATCTAGTTTATGCTAATTAGATAAGCTGTGTGGAATGTATAAATACTGCTCCTGTCCTGCAATAAACGGCTCCTACTCCTGCTGTATCAACGTACCCAAGTCGTTCGTCACCCCCCGGTTATTTTGCTGCAGCCGGACTGCGGCATAATATACTCTGGAAAAATCATGGCAACAACAAAAGCACTGTGCTGTAATGAGCAGACAAAAACTGGTGGTAACTAACTGATCACAGGGCATTCTCCATCCCACCTCAATTTCTCCAAACTCTGAGGGCTAAAGAATTTTGTAATACAAAAATATTATTCTATTTAATGTTGCTTTTCCCTTGAACCAAACCGTTTACACTTGACCTTATGGGTTATTTCATGGGTGACTGTGGTTTTCTGGTGGCTAGGTCTCTCCACACTATAGTTCAACTGCACCCCTGATTTCTGGAACTCACTGAAGCTGACAAGTTTGGGGTTGGTCTTCCCTCATATGAATTTCCAGAAAGAAAAGCAGTATGAAAAAATAAAATAGCATGAAATAGCTCATAATGTTTACATTAATTACACATTGAAATGATATTGCTTTGAATATATTTAGGTTAAAGTTTATTATTAAAAATTTTAAAAAGAAAGCCTTATTGAGGATTCTCCCAGAAGGAAGGAAAAACTAAAACACAGAATATATAAAAGTTAAGCAAGCTAGAGGATAAATTCAGAGGTGCTAACATCTGAATAATAAAAGACATACAAAGAAGGAAGATTATTTGAAGAAATAATAAAGATCAATTTTCCAGAATTACAAAAAAGATAAAGAACCTCAGAGTTAAAAGTCTTATAGTGTGGCCAAGAGAAGAAAAAAAAAATGAAAAATCCACATTTAGACACAATTATCAGGAAATAAAGGTAAAATCATAGATAAAATTTTAAAGTTTCCATCCCAAAAGAACAAATAACAGAAAGAAAGAATCAAAGTACCCTCAGAGTTTTCAACAGTAACAATGGATTCAAGAAGACAACCAAGTACATAATTACTAGGTTAAAACATATGAAATTGTAGTTTTTGTAGGTCACAAGTATTTAAGGGAAAAAAACTCAGAGCCTAGAATTTTATTTCATTATTTTATTTCTTGCAGTGCTGGGGTTAAAACTCAGGAATTTGCCAATGCTAGGCAAGTACTCTGCCTCTGAGCTATATCCCCAGTCAAAAGTGAGAACTTTATAAAAAGTAGTCAGAGAAAGATAGATAGTAAATAGATCCACACTAACTCCAAAGTTACATTAGCACTACTCAAAGTAGCCTGACCTGAATGGTTCGTAATTGTATGCCATAAGTAACTTGTGCTAGAATGTAATTCAACAAATCAACTGTTTTAGTCAGCTTTTTCACTGCTGTGACTAAAGAATCTGATCAGCACAATTGCAGAGGAGGAAAAGTTTATTTGAGGGTTCAAGGTTTCAGAGGTCTTAGTCCATAGAAAGCCCGTTCCATTCCCTGGAGCTCAAGTTGAGGCTGAACATCATGAAGGGAGAATATGGCAGAGGAAAGTGGCTCATATGGTGATCAGAAAGCAGAGAGAAACTCGCCAGATACAAATACATATCCAAAGCCACGCCCCAATTCCCTCCTCCTCCAGCCACACCCTACCACTTCAGTTACCAGTCAATCCCTATCAAAGGATTAAATCACTGATTGGGTTAAGACTCTTACAAGCCAATCATTTTTCCTCTGAACCTTCTTGCATTGTCTCACATGTGAGCTTTTGAGGAACACCTCTCATCTAAACCATAGCATCAACATAATGTTTCTTCACTGAGAAAGTCTTGCAATAAATAAGACAAAATAACTAAACAAGTTTGCCTAATGACATAAGTGATTTAAATACTGAAGTAGCTGTTTCCCTCTGTTGAAAACTAGTAAGTTTGTGGACTGGAACCAGCTGCAGATGATACTCCAAATATTACTAGTCTAAATAATGTCACCCTAAGGAAAAAGGAAGATAGAAAGTGAAGGAGAGCATCTAGAGAAGAACAAAGGATTGTGAATGTTTTCTAAGAAGTTGTTTTACTGAAGGAAAGATTAACTATCACTTTTTAAGATGGCAAAAAAGGATTTAAAAGAGCAAAGAAAGAGTGGGATAAATGAATAATTTAAGATTGTAGGAACATATACAAATGTATCAATTATTATAATTTAAATCTAACTATTTGGGCTTGTTCTGTTTACAGGTCAAATTTTTTATAATTGACACATACAGTGTTTACAAGGAACGTACCTATGAGAACACACAAAAGTGTTCAAAAGAGATTTATCAAGTACATATTAGCAAAAACATACCTGGCATGTCTATATTAATAAATTCATTTTAAGAAAAAGGTATTAAAGTTGTAGAGGGTCTCTATATGATAATAAAATTTCAATTTATCAAGAAGACAAGAGTAACTTAAAACATATGTGCACCTAATAAAATAAGCCTAATATATGAAATGCAAAAAGTAAGAAAATAGCAAGAAGAACGTGAACCATTGAAGATTTCAACTATCACCCTGAATTGCTGATAGATGACTAACCAAAAATTGGCAAGACTAGAGAAGATCTGGAGAAAGCAATTACTAAACTTGATTTGTTTAAGAGCTCGGCATCTAATAAAAAGAGAAGGCATATATATTTCTCATTTTCTATACCATTAAAAAAACATAGATGAACTTTAAAGAATAGTATTACGAAAACCATAATCTGCTAACTAGTAAGTTTGTAGACTGAAATCTGCCTGCAGATGATACTCTGTAGGTTAAGTTAAAAATTAATATAGAAATTTCCTTAAAAACATGCTTACTAACTTGTATGCTAAAGATGAAACTATAATATAAAATTTAAATAAAATTAATTTAAATGAAAAAAAGTACTTCACAAAAGTAGAGTGGTACTTTGAGGGAAATTTACAATCCTAATTTTATATTAGAAAACAGAAAAATCCTCAAAATTAGCAAGCTACATATCTGACTTAGGATGTATGAAAAAGAAGATTACACTAAAACCTAACAAAATAAGAGAGATCTTAAAAATAAGAGTGGAAGACAAAAAGAAACCAAAACCAAACCAAAATAAAACAAAGATACTTGCTGATCTTTTGATCCACAAAGGCAAAAGGTTGTTCTTTGAAAAAACTAACCAAATAGGCAAGCCTTAGGCATGTATAATTATATCACAATGAATCCTGTTATTATGTATAATCATTAAGTACCAATAAAAAGTTTTTAACAAAAATTTTAAAGTAAATAAATAAGCACTTGAAATATAGCTTAGTAGTAGAGGGCTTCTGGGTTCAATCCCCAGGAGGGGGGGAGGGAATTTACAGAGATATTCAGCTGTTTGTAAATGCATCATCACCATGATCAGACCAACTTACCTTTGCTATAAACCGAAGAACTTTCTTTCCGACTCAATTTAAGATAAAGTTTGCTTTTCTTTTCACTATAAAATTCAGGATTTACAGCAGTAAACTTTTTTAGTTTGCCGTACTGTTTTCTCTGAAAGTCAAATCCTTTCCTGAAAAAAAGAATAAAAATAAAAATAAATTTGAATATTAAAAAATTTTTAAATCTTTTTTTAAAACACAACATAAAAACACAACTTTCATACATGCATATGAAAAATAAATATATTCCATCAAAGGAAGAAAACAGCAATATCACAGAATTGTCATCAATTGATTGGACTGATTGCAGTGCTGGGGATCAAACCCAGAACCTTGTACAAGCATTCTAGGCAAGCACTCTGCCACCGAACTACATCCCTAGTCCCTATCATCAGTTTTAAAAAGATGAAGATAGGAAAAAGTATCTAAAAAATAGAGAATATCAATTTCTATCACAGTAAAATAAAATTAATACTTGTCTCCACTATCTCCATATCTTATAGGTTACTGTGATCTTATAGGTTACTGTGATGATTAAATGGAATAAGACAAAATACTTAGAAGAAAACCTAGCATCTAAAAATTCCCAATAAATTATTATTACGTTACCATGCATATGGCATTTATACTTTTTTAGTAATCCTACTTCTATACCAGACATGCTTCTAAAATGTACCATTCTATCATCCTACAGGCTATACAGTTCAAGATTGTGAAAAATTATTATCTGGCACTTCCAAAAAATTATTCCTATGATTTGTTCAACAGAGTCCCCTGAGATTGTGAAGAACAGCCCCAACTATGCATAAAAATGGTTAGAAAAATAGCCTCCTTCCAGTTATTCTGATATTTCTGAAACTGCTTGATATTTAGAGAGGGTTAAAATAACCTTACAGACTCCTTTCATTTTAAACTTATAAAAACTAAAGTATTCTCTCTGTTAGATACTTTTCCATCTCAATCTCTTTTAAAGCTGTTGATAATCCTGTGAGGGCTGCTATCTTCTGATTTATATTATTTATTAATATATATTTATATATTACATATTTATTAATGTATATTATTTTCTGATAGTAATTACAGGCAATTATTTGGTACCATGAAACATACCTCACCAAAAGATGGCATTCCTCATAGAGTGGTATCTTTTGACTTCTTAAATACAAGGCAATACTCTTAATATCATTTAAAACCATGCTGGGTTGAGACTCTTCCTGTGTTAACCATCCAGGAGTTACTTCCTCAAGCCACTTGAAAAATTTACATTGATCCACTTTGGGTCTGTCACATGTATAAAAGAGACGACCCTAAGGAGGAAAAAAATATATTAAAATTTAGGGCTAGGGGTGTAATTTAGTGGAGGAGTACTTGCCTAGCATGCATGAGGTCCTGGGTTCAAAGCACAACACTTAAAAAAGAAAGAAAGAAAGAAAGAAAGAAAGGAGAAAAAAAAGATATTAAAATTTAGTAAGAAAGATATTTTTATTTTTATTTTTTTTAATTATGCTTGTCAACACTTATGAAGACTGCTTGGCCTTACTAATATACTCTACAAAGTCACAATACAACTTAATTTTTTAAATACTTTAAACAATATGATAAAACTTAAAACCATGTACTTTTCCATGTTTTCTCTTTATCAAAAAGAGAAAAAGATTATATTATTCTGAGAATGAAAACTTATTTGAAATTAACAATAAATTAAAATTTATTATTTCTTTGATAAAGTGTTCATTATAGACAATTTGAAATCTATCCAGAAAGAATAACAAGCAATATCTCTGCATTTCTTTTCCAGCTTTTTCCTCACTTACACAAAGACACATAAATGTATATAGTGGTCTTTTTAAAAAAAAACTTAGATGACACATTTTCTATTCTGTAATCTAATCATTACACCCAACAATATAGTATAAGCATGTAACCATGTCATGAAATAATCTTGAAAAGAAAACAAAGATTTTAGTAGCTATATGATATTTCATTCTTTATGGCTATGATATTAGTTATGAATTCTTGCTTTTGGTAACTAAATTTAAAATCAACTTTACATAATTAATGAAATAGGATATGCAAACAGGTTAAGAAAAAATAATAGGTTAAGAAAGCACAGTCTTGCAAATGAGTATAAGCTATCAACCAATACACATTTTACTAACCTGACTTTTTCCATGGTATTTTATCAGCAATATACATTAGGTCAATCTGATTTTCTATTCTTCTGGTGTTGTTAGGATTACAAAGTAGACTGATTACAGCTTTCAATTCTTTCTTTTTTTAAATTTGTATTTATTTATTTATTTATTTTTATTTTAAGGGCAGAAATACTGTGAATTGAACCCAGGGGTATTTTACCACTGAACCACACCCCAGCCCTATTTATTTGCTTTTTGGTTGTTTGTTTGTTTGTTTTGAGGCAAAGTTTTGCTAAGTTGCAGAAGCTGGCCTTGAGCTTTTGATCCTCCAGCCCAGTGTCCCAAGGATGGCATGTGCCAATGTGCCCAGACAACCTTCATTTCTTTCAGGCCCATTCCTGCATTCTTCTAAACCCTCATGTGGAACATATTCTCCTTCTCAGTGGTATCACTGTATCTTAGGCATATCCTTCCAGTTTACCAATTACAGTAATATAAAAAATTTTCTTTCATGTTATCTCTGTGTTCATTACCATGAGGTGAGTTCCAAAGTAATTTGAAAGTTAATCTTAACTCATATTTTTGTGTCCCAGAATACAGCTCATTCTTTTCATAAAAACTGAGTTTACTCTATTATTAGTTCCTAATGCTCAAACAGAAGGCTCCTAAATCAAGTCTCATTCTTCAAGCTTGCCATAAAGCAACAGTTACCCAATTATGCATAAGACAAGTATTAGGTGTGTGGAGGAACAATACCTTATTTGGACCTTCCTTTTTAACCATGACAAGTTTTGCAGGTTGATCATGATGACAGGATGGCAAATTATTTTCTACAGTTTTCATTTTCTCTCCTTTCAATGATGTGTAAAACGATATGTCAACTTTTGAAAGAGCTTTGTGTAATCTTTGTGCCAACTCAAACAGCAATATATTTAGATGTTCTAGAAAAAAGTAGATACAGTTGAAATTTAAATACAAAATAATTATGTGTTGTTGGAGGGGAAGGGAGGGGGCATGAGGTTAGAAATGACGCGACATTATTATCCAAAGTACATGTATGAAGACACAAATTGGTGTGAATATATTTTGTATATAACCAGAGATAAGAAAAATTGTGCTCTATATGTGTAATAAGGATTGTAATGCATTCCTCTGTCATATATAAATAAAAATAAATAAATAAAATATTAAAAAATAAAAATCCTTCTTTATTAAAAAAAAATGTTGTGTTTCTATCACATGTGCTCTATATTAGCCAAAATTGATAATAGCCTTTAAATAGAATCAAAATAAAACATAATACAAATATCCTTTGTTGTTATGGTGGTGGTGGTGGTAGAGGTACTAGGGACTGAAGCAAAGAGGATTCTTCCTCTGAGTTTCATTCAGGAATGTAACTATGAGACAGGGTCTTGCTAAGTGGCTCAGGCTGACTTCAAACTTTCGATCCTCCTACCTCAGTGAAGTGGCTGGGTTTACAGACATGAGCCAATCCAGTTTTTTAAGGTGGATTTGCCCTTGTATCTTTTTTTTTTTTTTTTTTTTTTTTTTTTTTTTTTAAAGAGAAAGAGAGAGAGAATTTTTAATATTTATTTTTTAGTTTTCGGCGGACACAGTATCTTTGTTTGTATGTGGTGCTGAGGATCGAACCCGGGCCGCACGCATGCCAAGTGAGTGTGCTACCACTTGAGCCACATCCCCAGCCCTGCCCTTGTATCTTGAAGCACTCAGACCTAATCATACATCATACTTAAATTTTTCCATTTAATTAAACAAGTCATGGAACACTTCTTCTTTTTTTTTTTTTTTGACCATATTTATCTCTGGTTGAAGAAGTTGCAAATGATTTTCCCCCTGATTTATACTTCTACATATGTTAACAAATTGCTGAAATGAACACAGAAATTTTATAATCATAATATCAATATCTTTTTTTCAAAAATGAAACTGAACAAATCAACATTAAGGGATCTGTTTTTTTTTAATTTTGATTTGTTATATATGACAACAGAGTGCATAAAATTCATATTACACATATAGAGCACAATTTTTCATGTCTCTGATTGTACACAAAGTAGAGTCACATCCTTCGTCTCTTCTTACGTGTACTTAGGTTAATGATGATCATCTCATTCTACCATCTTTCCTACTCTTTTCCCTCCCTCCCCTTTTCCCCTTTGCCCCATCTAGAGTTCATTTAATCTTCCCATCCCCACTGTCCCACAGCATATTATGGATCAGCATCCTTAAATCAGAGAAACCATTCGGCATTTGGGTGTTGGGGATTGGCTAAATTTCACTTAGCATAATAAAGGAATGTTTTAAATAGACAAAAATAGAAGCTAAACAAGTCACTTATATTGTTATAAAAAATATTTGATTTTTCACAATTTTGCATCACCCAGGGCCAAACCACTACAGAAAGCCCTCTCTCAGAGTCCTGCTTTTCCATACTCTCTGGAAATACTTCTATTTTAAAAAATGAAAAATTATGAGGTTGGGGCAGTAGCTCCGTGGCAGAGCACATGGCTAGCATGTGTGAGGCACTGGGTTCGATTCTCAGTACCAAATAAAAATAAACAAATAAGCTGGGCACAGTGGCTCAGGAGGCTAAGATAGGAGGATTGCCAGCCTCAGCAAAAAGTGAAGCACTAAACAACTGAGACCCTATCTCTAAATAAAATACAAAAAAAAGAGCTGGGGATGTGGCTCGGTGGTCAAGTGCCCGGTACCCAAAAAATAAAAAAATAAAGGCCTGCTGTTCATACACAACTACCAAAAAGAAAGAAAAACTATAATTTTAAATAGATAATTTTTAAAATTTTATAATTTTTCTGGTTTTTTTTTAAAGAGAGAGAGAGGGTTTTTTTTTTTAATATTTATTTTTTAGTTTGCGGTGAACACAACATCTTTATTTTATTTGTATGTGGTGCTGAGGATCAAACCCAGCACCTGGTGCATGCCAGGAAAGTGTGTTACCGCTTGAGCCACATGCCCAGCCCTCATTTTTTGTTTTTAAAGCTCTATTTTGATCAAAAGTTAGAATAATGGTTACTGTCAAAAACAAGTAAACACATGGAAAACAAATCTGAAGTGGAGAATTAATATACCTGAAAATTCAGAATACACTTTCCCATAGTTCTATTACACTAAGTGGCCATCAGAATAAAATAAAAATATAACAGTCATACCTATGATGCAAGAGGTAAAGGTTTGCTTATAATCAGCTGGAGACTGAAAAACAGTTGGTATGTGAATCTGCCTTTTGGGAAGATAAGCACATTTTACTTTTTGTCCACTTGGGAAGCATAGCTCCGAGCGGTTTATCTCCTGAAATGAAATGATTCAATTATAAAAGCTCCAAAAAAAAAAAAAAACAGTTTATCATTGAGGAAATTATTTTTTATAGATATGTTTAAGAGGGCTGGGGATGTGGCTCAAGCAGTAGCTTGCTCACCTGGCATGCGCGGGGCGCTGGGGATGATCCACAGCACCACATAAAAGTGAAATGGAGACATTGTGTCCACCAAAAAACTAAAAAATAAATATTAAAAAATTCTCTCTCTCTTTTTTTGTAAAAAAAAATAGATATGTTTAAGAAAATATACTAACTTTACTTTTGGTTTCTTGAGTCCATGAAAATTGTTTTCTAATTTTAAATGAGAATACAGATAGAGCCAGAATAACAATGCATAAGACTTTTAATTTTAAATAACATTTTTGGCTACCTCTTAATAAGTCCTTGAATTTTTTTTTCTCTCTCTTTTATTTTTTTTTTGTTTATATATAACATTAGGGTTAATTTTGACATAACTATAAAGACATGGAACATACTTTGCTCTAAGTCAGACCCTTGTACTTCCCTTTCCCTCCCTTCCTCTCACCCCTTGTTCCCTTCTCTCTACTCTACTGATCTTTCTGCTACTTACAGTTGCTGTTTTTTCCTAATTAGTGACTTGTATAATAGTGAGATTCACTGTCATATATCCATATATGTACATAGTAAAGTTAGGTCAGATTTATTCCACTTATCACTTATCAGATTTACTCCCTTATCATTTCCTCAATCCCCTTCTTCTACTCTTCTGATCTTTCTTCTATTTCGGTGGAATCCATCTTCCTCTTTACCCACCCCCCCTTATTTTGATTAGTTTCCACCTTTCAGAGAAAACATTCACCTTTAAATTTCTTGGTCTAGCTCATTAATTTTTTAATTTTTTTTTTTAGCCAGGAAAATGTAACTGAATGGATCATTGTATATCTCTATTTCTTGTTATAACTATAATAAGAATTATAACAAGGGGCTGGGGATATAGCTCAGTTGGCGGAGTGCTTGCCTCGCATGCACAAAGCCCTGGGTTGGATCCCCAGCACCACACACAAAAAAAAAGGAATTATAACCAGTGTATTATAAATGTACCATTACCCTAACAATAATCCAATTGAAAAATTGACTTCATAGTCATAAATAAAAACAAGAATGGTACTATTTATATTGGAAGTAGTCATTTCTAATACAGAAATAAGAGCTAAATTTATCAAATACTTATTATATGGAAGACATAGCACCAGATAATTTCAAACATACAATTTCATTTAACGTTCACAACTAGTAGGGAAGACTTTAAATCAAAGGAGATGACGTAACTATAGCTAGAGCTCTAGATCAAAAAATCCATATATTCCAAAGGTGAAATTGCACCTGTGTTTCTTTTGTTGAAATTTAGGCAGCAACTATTGGAAAAAAAGAGACTGGTGCATTTCCTCACCTGTAAATCCTGTGCACTGTAGTTGTAGCAGGTGGACTTTCCTAACACATTTTGACCCTCCTCAGATTTGGAAGTCTGCTTTAAACTCAAAGAAAGTGCATTCTTTCTGGAAACCAAATCTTGACTGCTAAAACCTTGCTGCTGTTGATAGAGCATGCCTTTTATCATTTGCAAATGCACAGAGTCTAAAGAACTTTCATTCAGAGCTTCACTCTGCCCTTCACAGGAGTCACTAAAATGCATCCCAGAAATAGCCTCATTGAAGAAGCCATCTGTTCCTAGATCAACTCTGTTTGGAGTAGTCAAGTTACATTGGGATGTATTTTCATATTTTAGCCACTTGCTTTGAGATTTTGTATTGAGCAGTGAAACATCCCCTGGAGTCATTTTCATAGCTTCTTCAGAGAAAGTTTCACTTTGGTCCTCAGACCCAAAGCTAAAGGGAAAAACTGCTGACTCTTCCTGCAAGTTGAACGTGGGGAAACCAGAAGACTCTGATGTGTCACAGTTGAACACAAATGAATAAGAATCTAAGTTAGGCAGTTCAGGAGAAGGAACTCCAGCTCTACTTACTAATGGGGGACGTTGAAGGTTTTTATTCTTCAGAGAACTAATTTTTTTCATTCCTGAAAGAAAACAATGCTGATGCTGATTAAATAGAAAATGTACTACCAGTCATCACCAAGGCTAAAGTACCAACTTGCTCTATAAATTATATATATATATATATATATATATATATATATATATATACACATACATATACACTTAAGTATATGCATATATATTTTTATTTCATTTAAAAATGGTTTTAATCTCAAAAATAAAAATTTCAAAGATATTTTATAGATTTTAAAACTTTAAGACTGATAAACTTGAAGTACTATTTTTTTTTAACTAAGGATTTTTTTCCTAAAATTCTGATATTATATTTATATAGAACTAATGGTTTCAAAGCATTTCAAAGCCAAGAAAGGATATATCATTCTCATTTTACAGATGAAACCAAAGGGGCCCAGAAGTAACTTATCTGCCAAGTGGCAGGATCATGATAAGAACCCAGAAAAAGGTTTTAATATTTATTTTATATTCATTCTCCAGAGACTGAATTTCATAGCTCACTTATGACTATGTGATTGTAACTTCCTTTATATGTTTATTATATTCATGAATGATCATGTTACTCTTCAGCATAAAGATTTTAGCTTTATTTTGATCTATTAGAATATTATAAGAATACAATTCTGATAAACTCATGGCAGATTTTTGCCTGAATGAGTTTTATAATTCCTCCTATCATCAGCTTTGGTATAAAGAGGCTCCTAGAAATGTAAGAAGCAATTAATATTTGTTGAATACTTAGAAATATAAATAATACTGTGTGGAAACTATGAAAGCTTAAAGTTTTCATCTGACAATGCTATAGATTCTTGTTGTATAGTAACGTACCTTTCAGACAACATTTCTGTTTTGTGGGAAATAAATTCTGGAGATCATTTGGGAAATAGTAAAGCAGTAGGTGAGTCAATGAATATTCTTTTATAAACTGCTGTGTTGTAATTCTAACAAGTTGGTCAAACAATACTGACAGAAAATTTAAAACTCCAATAAGGAAGTGAAAGATTGATGGCATAACTATAAAAATCATGTTAATCCCTTGCCATTACACTTATTGTAAAATACCTGCTCCTTCCATTCTGACTCCAAGCCACCTACTCATTCACATAAAACTTTTTTCCTCTTTATATCACCCACTTATAATCAAAAAATTTAAATATAACATCATCCTCACCCAACATAACTTCTGAATGAAGGGAATATATATTGATGAGATGATAAGAAAAGAGAGAGGAAGCCCAGCACAGTGGTGCATGCCTGTAATCCCAGCAACTCTGAAGGCTGAAGCAAGAGGATGGAAAGTTTGAGGTCATTCTGGGCAACTTATGCTCTGTCTAAAAAATAAAAAGGCTTGGGGATTTACCTAAGTGAAAAAACATCCCTGAGTTCAATTCCCAGTATCAGTTTTTAAAAAAGAAAAGGAAAGGAGAAAGAGGAAAATAAAAGTTAGTGGAAGACCTATAGAATAATAGTATACTTATTAAGAAGCAGGAAAGAATTTACAAGAATCAAAATATATGAAAACACTGAGGCCTGAGAGTGCAATGATGATATCAGAAGTTGAAGAGTTTCTTGATACTGCCAGAATCCCAAAGCAAAAAAGGAAACTAAGGTTATGCTAAGGTCAACCATCAGTGTTGAGGAGACATTTGCAATGAGTCATTCCTCCAAGAGAAAAAGTGGTCATAGAGAGGTTACACTGTGGAGTTACAACTGTGAGAAGTGTCAAAGACATTTTCAGTGGCATGTGATAAGACAGTTGGAGTGAGAAGAAAGAAGGAACTAGAAGGGAGTATTGTAATTGAGACCACTATCTAAAATAGAAAAAGTCAAAAGAAAGAAAAGATGTGGGAAGGCCTCAAGGGCTATGATACTGAATCTAGTTCCAAGATATTTTTGGTTAGTAACTATCTCTCAAATAAAAACTTCACTACATGGACTAATAGTGATTTGAGTAATATAGATTCCAAGCAGAGAAAGTCAAGGTCACCAGGTGAAGTTCTTGCTTTCAGGGACTCTTCAGAGAATTCTAGAACATCTTCATTTCTTGAGTTCAAAGAAAAAGTAGAAACAGGACTCAATGTAGAGAACTTTTGTTCTGGTGACTTCACCTATTCAGAAAGAAGAAACAAAATAACAGACAAAAATCTTAATACATTTTTTCCTTATAGTTTGAATGAATTTTAGTAATTTACATTATAAAAATAATGATTTCAGGGGCTGTGGTTGTGGGTGTAGCTCAGTGATAGAGCACTTGCCTTGCATGTGTGAGGCACTAGGTTTAATCCTCAGCACCACATAAAAATAAATAAATAAAATAAAGGTATTGTGTTATCTACAACTAAAGCAATTTTTTTAAATAACAATAATGATTTCAAGCACATTCTAAAGCTATGGTGAGGGCAAATTATCATAAAACTTCCTTCAAAAAGGACAGGATAATTCATTAAAATCAACAATAATAGAAGTAAAACAGAACACAGGGGCTGGAGTTGTAAACATGTGTGAGGCACTGGGTTCAATCTTCAGCACCATATAAAAAAATAAATAAAACAAAACAAAGGTATTGGGTCCATCTACAACTAAAAAAAAAATTAAACAAACAAACAAACAGAGAATACAAAGTCTTCAGATTTATTTGAAGTGGGTCCAATTCTCATTAAGAGAGAATTGGGTTATGAGGATTTGGTTCTAAAGATCAGTTACTACCGTGAGAGACTCAGGTTTCATATTTGGACTTGTGAAAGTTTAAATTCCTACACATAGTTTTCTCTTATGTCCTCAGATCTGGGGTTTATCTATACTTGACTGAAACTTCAACACATTGTTCCTCAATAAGTGACTTTTTAAATATATCCCAATTCACTACTATTTTCATTAGATCGGCCTTTAATTTTGCTGATGCTAATTCCAGAAATAAACCATCTTAAAAGCTAATATGATGATCATATTTAATATGTTTGTATAAACAGAATTTAAAAATAGACATTTAGAGATGTTAGGAGTGGATTCTGATAGGAGTGGGATCAGAGGCTGTTTTACTTGTAATTTCATACTTTTCTGAATGGTTTGAACTTATAAAAATAAATATGCTTGTATGTATGTATGTTCATTTTGTTTCTTTTTTAATAAATATACAATATACATTTATACATTTAGGGTTGGGGTGTATCTGTGCTTGCCTGGCAGGTGCAAAGCTCTGAGTTTAATCCCCCGTACCACCAAAAAAAAAAAAAAAAGAAAAAGAAACCCAACAAAACCAGAAACTACACACACACACACACACACACACATATGTACATATACATTTTTTTAAAAAACATTTTCTTGATTAGCTACTGGGTTTGGGGTGTTGTGCTAGGAAGTAAGAATGAGAAAATGAATATTCATGGTCTCCACGAAAGGGGCTCATTCTAGTGAAAGATACAAACAAATGGGAAATTATAACTTGATCAACATGACAATAATAGCTTTTCTATATTATCAAGTTCTTACTATGTACCAGGGACTGTTCTGAGCACTTGCTATTGTTAACTTTAATCCTTACCATAGCCATATGAAGTATATACTCTTATTTCCCTTATTTTGCAACTGATGGAACTAAGAAAAAAAGCAGAAAACAGTAGACTTGCTTAAATTCATCCAGCTTATACACAGCAGAGTTGGGAATTTAAAACTGGGCAATTTAGACTGCATTTCCCATTGGATAAAAATTATAATAAGAGAAAATGCTGATTGAATATTCTACCGTGTTCCCCTACTCCTACTACCTTCTCCACAAACTTGCCAGAATTCTTTTTAAAATTTCAGTTCAAGTATTTAACCTCTCTGATCAAACCCTCTAATGGCTCTCAGACTCTTTCAAAGTACGAGGCAGCTCTTCAAGTGTCCTCTGTGGCCCTATCTGACCAGTCTACTTTCTACTCTTTTGTTGGGGGTAGGAGGTGGTGTCAGGGGAAAGTACTGGGGATTAAACTAAGGGGTGCACAACCACTGAGCCACATCCTCAGCCCTATTTTGTATTTTAGAGACAGGGTGTCACTGGGTTGTCTAGTGCCTCACCATTGCTAGGGCTGGCTTTGAACTTGTGATCCTCCTGCCTCTGCCTCTGGAAGCGCTCGGATTACAGGCATGCACCACCAAGCCCGGCTTCCTGCTCTTTGACCTCACTTCTACCACTCTCCCTCTCGCTCATTCCTAACTCACTCCACGGCAGCCCTGCTGTTCTACAAACTGACCAGCCTTCTCTTGCCTCAGAACCTTTGCATTTGTTATTACCTGTGCCTGGAATATTCTCCCTTCCTTCACCTAGTTCTCTACTCCAATGTTATCTTACTGAAGAGGCCTGACCTTACCTACTTAAATAGAACTCCATCCTCACCTGCATTCCCTAACTTTCTTACATAGCTATATGATTCTCCTCAGCACCCAAAACCTTGAGTAGTGTATATTTTCATTGTCTGTCTCCTTTTACTCCTCCTTTATGAGGACAGAATTTACCTGTTTTATTCACATGCTTATCTTGATAGTGTAACATAAAGAAATGTCTGCTGAATGAATGACTGACTAAATATGCCATTCTTTTTCATGAGTTTGCCATGTCAATTTTCTTACCTCTCACTCATTCTTTGTTTCTCTAAACTGTTTTTTACAAAACCTTACCATTTAAATGAAACTGATCTTGCCAAGGTCACCAATGACCTCTGAGTTGCTAAATGAAATAGGATATATTTCTGTTCTTATTTTATTGGCTATTTCAACAATAATTGATCTGTCTCCATTCTGAGAATGGGAGATAACCCAGGCTCTCTACTCTCTATACTTTTTAAATAAATCCATCCATTCCCATTGCTTTAAACTTTTCGTTGTGCAAATAAATGTACAAACATCTTCTCTGGAACAAATCCATGTACTCTAATATCTCTACTTGTCTTTTTCACAGGCATTCCTTATCTCTGTCTACATACTCACCAAAGCTGCTGCTCCCTACTATGGACAGAATTATGTGCCCCCCAAATTCACATGTTGAAGCCATACCTCTCAATGTGACTGTTCTTAGTGACAGGGCCTTTAGAAGAAAGCTCAGGCAAATGAGGTCATTAAGTATGAGACCCTGATCTGATATCAGCAAAGACATCAAAGATCCCTTACTTTCTTCTTTATATGTGTTTGCACACATGCTCTCTCTTTCTCTCACCCTCCCATTGTTCTTCTCTCTCTGCCCTCTCCAAGGCACACAACAAGGAAAGGCCGTGTGAGGACATAGCAAGAAGGCAGCCATCTGCAAGGCATGAAGAGGTCCTCACCAGAAATTGAGTCATCTGGAACTTTGACCTCAATCTTAGGAAAGTCTCTTCAAAAAATGATGCAGGAAAATGGATATCCATATACAGAAGAAAGAAACTAAAAACTATGCAACTGGTAAAATAAAATGGGAAACATTGTGGAACATTGGTTTGGGCAAAGTTTTTTTTGGATATGACCCTAAAAGCATAGGCAACAAAAGAAAAAACTGACAAATGGGGTTATATCAAATCAAAAAGCTTCTACACAGTAAAGGAAACAAGAGAGTGAAGAGAAAACCTACAGAATGGAAAAAAATATAAACAAACTATTTATTCAACAAGGGATTAATATCAAGAATATATTTACTCAACAGCAAAAAGTAAAATAATCTGATTTTAAAATGGGTAAATAATCTGAATAGACATTTCTTTAAAAAAAATAATAATCCAAATGGCCAACAGGTATATGAAAAAATCCTCAACTTTATTAACCATCAGGAAAACAAAAATCAAAACCACAATGGCATATCATCTTTGCCCCAGTTAGAAGGGCCATTACAGAAACACACACACACACACACACACACACACACACACAAATGCTAGAAGGATGCAAAGGGGAACTCTTATCCACTGTTAGTGGGAATGCCAATTAGTAAAACTATTATGGAAAATATTAGAACAGAACTATGAGATAACCCAGTGATCCTATTACTGGGTATACAGCAAAAGGAATTGAAATCATTATGTCAAAGAAACATCTGTACTCCCTAAGTACTGCAGCACTATTCATGATAGCCAAGATAGGTATATACTGATGGATGGATGGATAAGGAAACTCTGGTGTACTCACACAATGGAATATTTTCAGCCATAATAAATGATGAAATTCCATCATTTGCAGTAATATGGATAGAACTGGAGGACATTATGTTAAGTGAAAGAAGTCAGGTACAGAAAAACAAATAGCACACATTCTCACTTATATGGAAACTGAAACATTTATTTTACAGAATTAGAGAATGCAATAGTGGTTACCAGAGCTTGGGAAGGGTTTGGGGGAGAGAAAAGGGGAGATGATGAGAGGATAGCTAACGTGTACAGAGGTACAGCTAGACAGGAGAAATAATTTCTAATATTCTATAACACAGATGATGATGATAATAGACAAATTAATTGAATATTTCAAATAGCTAGTAAGATTCTGAATGCTTCCAACACAAAGAAGTGATAAATGTCTGAGATGACAGATATGATAATTACTCATTATATATCGTATACATGTAATGAAATGTAACGCTAAACCCCATAAATATGTATAATGTCAATTATAAATAAAAATACATTTTCAAAAATGAATCAAAAATAAGTCTAAGTGAAGATGAAGAAGTTTTAGAGATCTGTTTTTAAACAATGAAAATATGCTTACTACCACTGAATTGTATACTTAAAAATGGTTAATATGGCCAGATGCAGTGGTATAGGCATGCAATCCCAGCTACTTAGGAGGCTGGGGCAGGAGAAGAGAAAGTTCAATACAAGCCTAAGCAATTCAGTGACACCCTATCTCTAAATAAAAAGGGATGGGGATGTAGCTCAGTGATAGAGCACCTGCCTATCACACATGAGGCCCTGGGTTTAATCCCCAGTAATACCAAAAAAATAAATAAATAAAAAGAAAGGCATAGCAAATAATTATATAAAATGAAATAATTTAAAAATCTAAAACTGGAAAAAAGTGGTTAATATGATAAATTTTATGATATATGTTTTTGCCACAATAAAAAGGTTGTTTTAATGTTTTTCAAAGTCTAAATAAGGGCTGGGAATATAGCTCCGGTGGTAGAGTGCTTGCCTCACATACACAAGGCCCTGGGTTCAAACCTCAGCACCACCAAAAAAAAAAAAAAAAAAAAAAAAAGTTGAAGTAATAAGGTATTCTATAATGTTTAACTGACTACTTTTCTTCTGAGTGCCATATAATGATAGAGTCTTAAAATGATAGTATTTTGGGGCTGGGGTTGAAGCTCAGTGGTAGAGCACTTGCCCCGCATGCATGAGGTCCTGGGTTTAATCCCCAGTACCCCATATAAATAAACAAATAAAAATAAAAGATATTTTTTAAAAAAATGATAGTATCTTAGAATTTGATGAAACACAGAATATTTTTTAAAGTTCAGAGACTGCTATATGTTAGTAATACATCACACATATTTAAGAAGGCACTTATCTCTCTTGGCAGCTTTAGTTATTTTGCTTGAAAACATTTTTTTTTATAGACTTAGGATATTTAACATATAACCATAACTGGTATTTGTGAAAGTAGTAAGAAATAAAACAAATGGGCATAAGTTTCTTTTTCAATATAGAATACTCTAATTTATTCATCTGTCAAAAAACAGACAGATTGAAAAACAGAAACTCCATCTTTGATTTATGGTTCCTGTCAATATACTCCTGTACTACTACTAGTACTTCTTTTTTTTTTTTTCTTTTAATTTCTTTTTTAGTTGTAGATGGACACAATACCTTTGTTTATTTATTTTTTTAATGTGCTGAGGATCAAACCCAGTGCCTCACACATGCTAGGCGAGCACTCTACCACTGAGCCATAACCCCAGCCCTGCTGTACTTCTTTTTCTTTTTAATATATTTTTTTAGTTGTAGATGGATACAATATCTTCATTTTTATTTGTTTATTTTTATGTGGTGCTGGGGACCGAACCCAGGGCCTCATGCATGCAAGGCAAGCGCTCTACCACTGAGCTACAACCCCAGCCCATCTTGTACTTCTTTTGTACAAAGATTTAACTATAATCTCTATATAAAATAATATTGACATAAATAAAATAATTTGCCAAAATACAACCATAAAAATATCTTTACCTGCAAGAAGTCAGTCTGCATACAAGTGCTAAGCAACTCTGGTGTCAAAAAACAAGTATCTGGCATGAAGTTTTGATATTCCATGCTATCTGGAAACTGGCTGTATACTAGCTGTGAGCTCTGTCCTCTGACCATTACACCACTAGTAGCTGATCCTTTCAGTTGGTGTCCTTGAAACTCAACAGGCTATAGGTAAATTGTTAAGAATAAGCATATATCAACATATATATTCACAATGTATTTACACAGATAACAACATATAACTCAGATTTTTATTAAATATTCTCTATGTAAATAAGTACTAGAGAGGACTAATTTTTAAAATTAGGATGTACTCATTACTCTAAAACAAATGTTAAGGATAGCTAATTTAAAGAGCGTAGATTTAAAACTACATTCAAGTAAATTTAAATTTACACATAGACTTAAAACTACATCAATAAGTATGAATTTTTCATTATTATAGAGTATAATGATGAGAATGGCTGACTAAGCCAGAGAGACTATTTCTTTCTCTCTGTTTCACTATACATCACACAAATATGCAACACACACACATTATATATAACACATTATATATAACGTATACATGTTATATACTACAGTGAAGTTTTTCTGCATCTGTATATTAATATACTCTATTGAGAGCAAAGACCTTTTTTGCTTTATCTAGGTGTAACCTGCATTTATAATGCTTAGCATACAGGGAACAATCAAACATATAATAATAGAAAGGGAAGAAAGAGAAGAAACACAGAAATATTTTCCTTTGCTTGATGGATTTGTAGACTATCAGGCTTCACTATAAGATGAAAAGTTTGTACCCTGCATCCAGCAGAAGATCCAGTCTTACTGCTCTCAGAGCAAAGGCTTAAGAGTATGATTCCAATGGAGACTTGATTCTCAGAGTCTTTGATCTCTTCAGAATTGTATGCAAAGCTTCAAATAACTCTCTGCTGCCCTCCTGAGGGTGTTAGCAATTTTTACTCCAAACAGTAACAAAACCCACCCAGAATGTATGTGAAAATTGCTAATGGGGCCAAAGAAATGTCCATGAAGAGTTCAGTTATTTCTAACAATGAATTAACAAAATAACAATAATACATAATCTAAGTATACTGTTATTCAAAAATGAACATTCGAATCACAATTTAAAAGGAAAATCAGGGTTTTAGCTCAGCAGTAGAACGCTTGCCTCACATGGGAGGCACTGAGTTCAATCCTCAGCACCACATTAAAAAGAAAAAAAAAAAAAAGAAGGAAAATCAAAGCTAAATGCCCTTTTATATAGTGTTTTTGTTGAGATATTCTTCTGAATTTAAAAACATACATGTTACAACTGTTAAAAATCCTGAATAGTTCTGCTTTGTTTGATGGGGAATATCCATTCCCCACAAGGAAACAGTTGCTTTGTCTACTATGTTGCCATACAGATCTCTTTCAGAGTTTTTAGAAAGTACACTATTTTGAAACCCAATCCTTTACATGCTATTGTTGCTGCTATTTTTCCCCCAGTACTGGGGATTGTCACTTTAAAATTAAGCTATATCCCCAACTCTTTTTTTTTTAAAACTTTGTTTTTTAGTTGTAGATGGACACAATACCTTTATTTATTTATTTATTTTTATGTGGTGCTGAGAATCAAACCCAGGACCTCACACGTTCCAGGCAAGCACGATGCCACTGAGCACAACCCCAGCCCGATCCCCAACTCTTTTTATTTTTTACTTTGAGAGAGGGTCTTGCTAAGTTGCTGAAGCTGGGCTCAAACTTTTAATTCTCCGGCTCAGTCTCAAGAATAGCCTGAATTACCGGTGTATGTCACCATGCCTGGCCTGTTTCTGCATATTTTTGATGTAGAGAAGGTACACTACTTTTAGAGCTTGGACTACATGTATCTATATATCCAGTCAAAAGTAGAAGTGGAAGAGTGGACTATATGTTAAAGATTCTTGTTTTGTATGTCATAGAAAAGCCTTAATGTACTGTACCTAGCCTTAGGTTCATCCCCTAGTATATATTTATGGATACTGCTTACACTGTATTATTAGCTCATTAATATTACAGAGAAGGTTCAAGACAAAAAAAAGGAGGCAGCCAAGGAATCATTAAATAGTCTTTTATTATTAAAATCAGGCTAATTTATTATGTCCACTAATCTGCCTATAAAAATTAATACCTGCTTAACACACACACACACACACACACACACACACATATATACACACCGGGAAAAGACAGAGTTACACAAATCAATGTTCTTCACAAATTTTACCTAGGGTCACAGGTTTTTCTTTCTATTTGTTTAGGAATAACAGCTAGAAATGCAATCTCTTCTTCACTTCCCAAGGAAAAGAACTAAGATAAAATATCAGTAAGTTCTAGTTATTTATCTATCTTAGTAGACTAGTTCTGCAGGTGGTTCATAATTTTGATGGTAAAATACTTACCTAACTTAATGCTAAGTTTTTTTCTTTGAAAATACAAACTATCCCTGGCCAAAAAAAAAAAAAAAAAAAGGTTCTAACAGATAAGATACTTTGCCAATTAATTTAAAACTCAGCATATTACAAAAGTCTGGTCTTAAATTTTTAATTAAATCTATTAACCCTATAAAGAATTATTAAGTATATAATAAGTTACCTATCAAACCTACTACTATGATAATATGGATCATTTAATTTAAAAATTAGTATGATCCTACCAGGAACCATGGTACATGCCTATCATCCCAGCTACTCAGAAGTAGGATCACAAATTCCAGGCCAAAAAAAAAAAAAAATTCCAGGCCAGCCTGTCTCAAAACTAAAAAATGAAAAGGTCTGGGAATGTAGTTAAGTGGTAGAGTACTCCTGGGTTCAACCCCTACTGCCACACAAACAGAGAAAACATTTTGTCAATAGAATAGGTTAAATAATGTGTTTTTTCAAATAATGGTCACTCTTCTTTGCTAACACAAAGATAAGCACAATTGCCAAAAGAGTAGTTCTTAAAAATATTCAATTACATTTTAGAATCAGAATTTTCTGACAGTGAATTTTATTTATTTTTTATTTTACTTTTTCCATATTTTTAACTGGTACATTATAATTATACATAATGATGGGATTCATTGTAACATATCCATACATGCACACAAAATGTAATATAATTTTGCCAATATCATTCCCTAGTATTTCCCCTTACCCTCCCTTCCTCTTTCCCCCTCTTCTCTACTTTTTCCCTCTACTCTACTGATCTCTCTTCAATTTTCATGAGATTCACCCCACATCTTTCTCTTCCTTTTTCATCTCCTTCTCTATAGTTTCTATATGTAAGAGAAAATATACCACCCTTGATTTTGACTCATGTGACTTAACATAATGTTCTCAAGTTCCATCTATTTTCCTGCAAATGACATAATTTCATTCTTCTTTATGGCTGAATCAATTGACATAATGAATTTTAGAAATCAGCATAGTACTTTCTCTGATGAAACAGCTCCATTACTATGTGTAGCCAATTATATAGAAATAAAGAGGTGGCAATAAGTGTATCTTTGAAAAGAATCAAGTTTTAAAAGTTCCTTCTATCACGAACATACATGAAAATGTTATTTTCAGACAGCTGTAATAAGAGTCATTAAAAAATACAAATGAAGCTGGGCCCAGTGACACATGTCTATAATCCCAGTGGGTCAAAAGGCTGAGATAGGAGGATCCCGAGCTTAAAGCCAGCCTCAGCAAAAGTGAGGTGCTAAGCAACTCAGTGAGACCCTGTCTCTAAATAAAATACAAAATAGGGCTGGGGATGTGGCTCAGCAGCAGATTGTCCCTGAGTTCAATCCCTAGTACCCAGAAAAAAAAAAAATGAACTTCTATTTAAATTCTAAAAACAGATTAATTTTTTTTTTTTTGCTGTGAAAGACTGTAAGATCTTTTTCATTATTACTAGATCACTACAGATTTTTTTAAATGTGATATATTTATTTTAAATGGAAACTCATTCAGGGGAAAAACAGTGATAGTGTTTATATGCAGTTTATACTTTGTAAAACTCCTTGAAAAGATTTAAAACTATTTTTTCAAGGGAAAAAAATAAGCATGTTATCATTTGTTAGCTAAATTACTAGTTGCTAGTTGTTCAAGATTTTATACATTTATCTTGTTATATAAAGGCGAACAAAAAATGGCAAGTCACCAAAACACAAATGTTTTTGTTTTGCTTGTTCTGCTTTAAGCAAGTGAGCTGCAGGTGCGATTATTAACAAAATTCACAATGCTTATAAAAGTAACTTTGTGAATTTGTTATTTAACCAAATGTACTGATTATGTGGAACCTTTATACAAAAGGCAGCAGGTTCATCTAACAAGTAAAGGGTAATTAATTACAAATGAATTTGAACACTGAAAACATATAATGCAAACTTAAAATATATGCTATACCTACTATACAAATATAATTTCTGAAGTTGGGGATGTAGCCAGTGGCAGAGAGCTTGCCTAGCCAACAAAAAATCCTGGATTCAATTCCCAGTACCACAGGGGGAAAAAATATACGTGTGTGTGTGTGTGTGTGTGTGTGTGTGTGTCCCTGAGTTCAATCCCCAGTACCCACACAGTAAAAAAATACAAAAAAACATATGTGTTGTATATATACATACATATATACGTGTGTGTGTGTGTGTGTGTGTGTATAATTTCTGGCTGTTTTACATTATAAAAGATAACTCACCTGCAGAGACCGAAATGGTTCACTTGGCTCAACTTCATCTTCTTTTAATATCTTAGAAATAGAATAATAACATAAGATTAATTAAAGGCAATAATAATTTACCAAAAAAATACAATTTTCTATGAGCATAAGAAATGCAAAATAACACCATTAACAATAAATAAAAACCAAAATGTTGGTAAACGGTATTTTCACTTAGCAAAAATTTTAAATTCTTTCACAGTAAATGAAGTGGAAATAAATATTCTAATTGTAAAACATTCAAGATTTTCATATTTGACAATATGAAGAAACTAAGAAAGTTGTTTCCAGCCTTCTAACTAACTAATTCCATTTCTAGGAATAAATCCAAGGAAAGAACTTAAAGTGCACACCAGAAATGTTATTTATTTATTTATTTATTTATTTTTGAAGATATAGAACACTTTATTTCAAATTTTTTAATAGACAAGGTATGCATTATTAATAATTTATAAAAGTCATATGAATAGATGATAGAACTGTAGAAAAATGAGGAACATGGTCATGAGGTGCTGCCTAAAGACTATCATTCCTCTTTAGAATTGCTGTACTCTTTACTCTTCTATCCTAAAACATTATCAATGATCTAATACAATGGAAGACAGAAAATGAGTATCAACCAACCTTCTCCTTCATAAACCCTTTTGCCAGAGCAGCTAAAAATTAAAAATTAGAAGTAAAAAGAAGAAATTGCTATGCAAAGTACATGTATGAAGACATGAATTGATGCAAATATACTATGTATACAATCAGAGATATGAAAAAATGTGCTCTACATATGTAATAAGAATTGTAATGCATTTTGCTGTCATATATAAATAAAAAAAATTTACTTAAAAGGTATTGTGTTCAACTACAATAAAAAAATAATTTTTTTTTAAAAAGAAGAAATTGCATTTCTTTATTCTTGGTGTAAAGTTGAACTAATAATAATACCTACTTCATAATATTGTTCCAAGGGATAAATATTAAATACATTTTATAAGTGTAAAGATTAGAAGAGTATCTAGTAAATACTTCATGTATATTATAAATACCAATATTGTTATCATCATTATAGTCTCCACTTAATATGTTTATAAGTATAAATGGTGTCCTCTGATAATCTCCTTGTCTTTAGTCATGTACCCTAATAACCTTTTCTCCCACCTCACCACCAGAAACTACATAAAATACAAATACTATCATCTTTTATGCTCCAATTTTTTGAACGGTACTCTTACCCACAAGAGGCTTATTCTGGATCTACAGTATTGCCTTGGATCTAATCTAGGCCTTTAACTTCTATTCTTATTTCTACTGCTCACCACAAACTCCCTTTTTTTGTAATTTTTTTTTATTTTGATTTGTTACATATGACAACAGAATGCATTACAATTCATATTATACATATAGAGCACAATTTTTCATATCTCTGGTTGTACACAAAATAGAGTCACATCCTTTGTCTCTTCTTACATGTACTTAGGTTAATGATGACCATCGCATTCTACCATCTTTCCTACCCCTATGCCCCTCCCTTACCTTCCCTCCCCTTTTCCCCTTTGCCCTATCTAGAGTTCATTTAATCCCCCTCATCCTCAGTGAAGTGTTATTTATTACTAGCAAAATGCTAGAAAAAATCTAAATGTCCAAACCAGTGAACAGTCTGTTTAAAGGATAGGAAATCCATACAATGGAATAACTAGTAACCTTTAAAATGTATATTTAAGAAGATTTTTTAGTAATGTAAGATGCTACAAAATGACATCAAGGATTTATTTATCTAACTGTATTTTTTTAAATGGACACAAAAAAAAGCTGGAAATGATAATAATCATCATCTCTGGAAGTGGTACAAATTTAGTTTTTTCTTCGCTGTTTTCTGTATTTAAAAAAGAGAAATATCAAGATTTTTAAATAGGGAAAATACGGATCAGTAACATGGAAAATAAAGTAAAATATAAAATGAGGGCAAATGAAACATTCATTTCTTTTCTTCTAAAAATGTCTGCCATGTAAAGAAAGACTTGTCCCTCCAAAAATGCAAAGTGCATCCCCATTGAGAAACACTTTGTTTTATTCTAAAACATTTATTTTAGAATTTTAATTTACCCTAACTGGTACTATTATTTCTGAAACTGCTATCATGGCTCCTAAACTATGCAACAAGGTATTTTAGAAAACCACAGCACAGTAAACTCACAGGAGTTCCATGAGATTTTTTTTCTTTTTTTTTTTTCTTTGTGTGCATAGTGCTGGGGATAAAACCCAGGGCCTCATGTGCTCAGCAATCACTCTACCACTGGGCCACATCCATAGTCCCACAAGTTATTTTATACTTAAGTAAATACAACATCACTGAACATCTGTCAGACATGAAAGGAACAAATTCAATGTAGTTCAATTTCAACATCAGCTCTCTGTGATGCTGTTTCAGAAACTGTTATGATAAAAAAGCAATTATCATGAGAAAAATCAATTTGTCATATAATCTATTCCAAGGTTAGAGAAACTGTGTAGTGCCCAACAGGGGCAAACATTCCATTAGTAGCTGTGTTTATTTTAAAATAAAATGCTTACTAAATTACTAGAACTTAAATACTTAGTGTTTAATGATACTAACTACTTAATAAATGCACTTGTTAGGTATTTCTTTTGACTGATGAAATAAATGAAAAAATTACTGAGTTACACAGTGATTACAAACCAAGATAGCTTGGTACTCTGTTTTACTACAATTCTATTACAAATACAGCCATAAAAAAAAAATACATATAGGTACCTGTTGAGAATCCTGCTTCTGATCAGGAGACTTTGGTATTGTTTGTGAAACTCCTATAGCAAATGGTTTCCTAGCTGTAATGGATAAAATAAAAATAATCTTATGCATCACATGCATCCGTATTGCTCTAAAAATATTTAAATTTATTTCTAAGACTTAAAGAAATAAAGAACATAAGAAATTCAAGATGAAGCAAAGTTTTGATAATTGTTTAATCCAGATTTGGAGTATTTAAGGATTCAGTGTACTATTCAGTGACGGTTGGAATATTTTCATGATAAAAATTCAAAAATATTTAGAATGATAGCCTCTTTTGTTACTTTCTAAGTTAACAGTAGGAATGTCTCTTTGTACTTTTATGTTTTTTTCAAACTAATTAAAAAATAAATACTAAGCTAAAAGCTAATCACCTATATTAAAAATGTGCAAAATGAAAGTTCAAAGCCAGCCTCAGCAAAAAGCGAGGTGCTAAGAAACTCAGTGAGACCCTGTCTCTAATAAAAATACAAAATAGGGCTGGAAATGTGGCTCAGTGGTTGAGTATCCCTGAGTTCAATCCACAGTACCAAAAAAAAAAAATCCTATCTTGTCACAAAGTAATCTAAAACTATGTTAAAAGATTTTTTATTTTCAAATCATTTCAGTTAACTGTTTCATAGTATGTCTACTACTTAAATAACTTTACTTTTTGGTCAAAAATAAATATTAGGCCTTTTGAATTAAAAAGTAGTGGCTTCCTTGAAGTTATACAGCCTAATCTCCCACTTAGCTTTTGTTTTCTATACAATAGTGGTATAAAACTAGTCTAACTTCAGTTTACTTTCTACAATGGGATGTGTGCCACTTGTTAGACAAGGAGATTCCAATCCCTGGAAAATGAATTCATTACTAAATGTAGTTGGAAAAATATTAAAGACTTAAAATAATTACTAGATTTTTTAAAATTGGTGGTTTACAGATATACATAAAGGTGGAATTCACTGGGTATGTATGTAGTAGAATTTTGTTAATTTCCTTCTGCTGTTTCTTTTGATGTGTGAGAAAATGAGGTTACTCTTACCTGGCATTGTATCATATGCTTGTCAGTAATTGTTGCTTTTTTTTTTTTTTTTAATAATCCAAAATAAAATGCTGAGTTTTTTTTAAGAAAAAAAATAAATAAATAAAAATGTGCAAAATGAAATATTGACCAATTATAAAGAGCATTAAAGTCAAGATAACCATCATATGGTTGCACTGTATTACCATAGAGAAGGAACAGAGCACCTAATGGTATTTCTAAGTCTATCTTAAATTCCCTACTATGGCACAGAAAAAATAATTTATTCATTTAATTTTTTTTTTTTTGTACCAAAATTGAACCCAGAGGTGCTTTACCACTGAATCCCCAAGACTTTTTATTTTTATTTTGAGACAGGGTCTCACTAAATTGTTTAAGGTTTCCCTAAATTGCTGAGGCTCCTCCGTAATCACTGGGATTATAGGACTGCGCCATCAAGGATGCGCAATGATTAGTTTCTAAGAGCAGCGTGCCAACACTGGGGAAACAGCAATGAACAAGACAAAATGCCTTGAAGCTGGTCCAGTGTGTACCTGTATTGTCAGCTACTTGGGAGACTAGAGTAGGAGAATTCAACCTGAGCAATTTAGCAAAACTGTCTCTAAATAATTTTTTTTTAAAGGGTTGGAAGCCATGCATAGTGGCACACACCTGTAATCCCAGCAGCTCAGGAGACTGAGGCAGGAGGAGCAAGAATTCAAAGCCAGCCTCAGCAAAAAGCGAGGTGCTAAGCAACTCCGTGAGACCCTGTGTCTAAATAAAATATAAAATGAGCTGGGGGGATGTGGCTCAGTGGTCAAATGGCCCTGAGTCTAATCCCCCATACCAAAATAAAAAGGGCTGGGGATGTAAGCTCAATGGTGGAACACCCCCACGGTTCAATCACCAATACCAGGAAAAAAAAAAAAGTCACAGGAGTGCAGTGTACCCAAATCCTACCTCAGGAGGCCGAAGCAAGAGGATCACAAGTTCCAGGCCAGCTTAGACAATTTAGTAAGATACTGTCTCAAAACTGAAAAAAGGCTGGGGATACAGCTCAGTGGTAGAGTGCCCTTGGGTTAAATTAACAGTACAAAAAAGAAAAAAAAATTTCACACCTACCAAATTAGTGGTAAAATTGATTCTTCCCTAATTTTGTATTAAGCTTCATGATTATTGTTAAGCTCCAATGAATTTGATTCTCTCAAATTTTATGAAGAAAACCAACTTATTCATTTTTTAGATAATTTGTACAAAGACACTTGTTAAAAAAAAAGTCAATCCTCATGGATTCTGCCAACTCCCTAAAGTTTACTTGTAACCCTAAAATCAATACTCATAGTGCTTTCATAGTCATTCAGACAAGCACTAAGCAGCAAAAACTGAGCTGCTTAACACGTAGCCTTGTCTTAGCTCTTACTGTAAACAAGTATCTTTATGGTGGTCTATTTAGTGCCATATTCTTGCATTTGTGTGCTTTTTTATTGGTGACTTCATATTTAAAATGTCCCCTAAGAAGAGTGCTGTCTTTGTAAGAAGGCTATGATGACTGTTGTGAAGAAAATAAATGTATTAGATTAAGTTTTATTCAGACATGAATTAGCACTATTTGTGAGTCCAGTATCAATGAATCAACAATATATACTAGATAATTTCTGTCTTTAAACAGAAACACACATAAGTTATATGTTGATGAGTTCACAAAAAATGTTTTGACCAGAGGCTTGCATTTCCCATAGGAGTACATCACTAGTTTGGGATTTGTAATGACTTCACAGAACATAATTATTGCAAACAATGAGAATCAACTAATCCTCTTCCAACGTGATCAGAGAAAAGAGTAGTTTTTTCAAAACTAAATTTTATAATTTCTAAATCTTAATATTAAAATTTTACATTCTTATATAGCATTATGTATTACCCATATTTATTTTCATTAAAGATTTTTCCTTATTATTAGCTTTTTAGAAAATAAACTATGCTGATGTGGTAGTGTACACCTGTAATCTCAGTGACTCAGAGACTAAGGCAAAAGGATCACAAGTTTAAGGCCAGCCTCAACAACAGAGAGGCCTGAAGCAATCTAGTAATATCCTGTCTCAAAATTAAAAAAAAAAAAAAAAAAAAAAAGCACCCCTGGGATAAATCCCCACTACCAAAAATACATAAATAAACTGTAACATTATCAAATTTAACTACATTTCAAAGAATCACTTTAGTGGATACAATAATTTATTTATACTTTTCTCAGGAATTACTTGGGATATTCAAAGAAGAGTTCAATTTTAACTTTGAGAATATCATAAACTGCATTGTTCATTTACATTCATATGCATAATTATTTATCATTACATTCTTAAAAAGGACAAGGCTGTTGACAACATATCATAAGAAAAGGCAAAAGATCAATGACATACTGAAAAAAATATTTGCAACAAATATCATAACTGGTTAATACATCTAATATATAAATAACTTTCAGCCAGGCATGGTGGTACACATCTGTAACCCCAGCTAATCAGGAAGCTAAGGATTTAAATAAAATTCTTAGAAAGGGCTAGGAATGTAACTCAGTAGTAGAGAGTATGCTGAAATGTGCAAATCCCTGGATTCAATCCCCAGTACCACCAAAAGCAAAAGATAAAAAACATAATGCGAAGAGAACAAAATAATGCTTAAATATAAGAAAACATGCTCAATTGCATCTATATTTAAAAGTGATTCAGACAAGATCTGTGAACTTTACAAATTTGTAAAGGCTCTTAGTAGAAGTGATATTGGTATGCTGATATGGACAATCTGGTGTATACTGTAAACTGTGTAAGTAAATATAGATGTCTTAAGAGCTAGGGTTCTTTCATACTACGGGAATAAAGAAACATAAATTATACAATGGAGGGAAGAGAAGAATACTGTGGTGTAGAACCAGGAATAAAGGTATAAATATATAAAGGTTTATGTATTTAAGCACAACATTTTCAGATTAAGAATGTTTAACCTGCTAGATGCAGTGGCACATATAACTCAGGACAGGCAAATGTCAAGCTTGAGGTCAGGCTGTACAACTTAGAGACTCTGTTTCAAAATAATAGTTTTTAAAAAGCTGGGGATAAAACTCCGTGGTAGAGTCACTTGCTTAGCATGTACAAGGCCCTGGATTCAATTCCTAGTACCCCCCTCCCCAAAACATAGAAAGCCTAACCTGTATATACATTCATTTACATGTGCCAATATACACACAAACCATACAGAGTATTTCTCCAAGTGTAGCCTAAGAGACTGCAGCTAATTCTGAGAAATGGATTGAGGTATGGTGACAAAAAGGACACTTAATTTTTCTTATATTATCCTCTATTAGAATTGGTTTTACCAAGTACATGTACTGTCTACTTAAAAGACTATGTAGTTCTTTAAAGTAGCAGAAAGCAAATATCTTCTCATCCTTCTAGCTACAAAGAGAAAGATCCAAAACAAATACATCGTTCTAACCTTCAGGACTGCAATCTGGATCATATGTCTGCTGAATTCTTTGTTGTTGAAAGCCAGTATTTTTGTTTTTCAGTGTTTCCAAGCTTTCTAAAGCTGTACTGTGTTCAGACAGTGACTTTAAAAGAGAAATGTTATTTATTACACCAGAAAGTTCTGAAGAATTTCTAGAATTATTCCAGGATTGTTTGCTTTTTCTGGCAATTGCAACTTCAACATGGTCTTGGGGTAACTTTCTAATTCTTCCCAAGTCTTCAGATTCAGGAATATATACTTCATAGTCTTTTAAAATAGAATGCTTTTTTCCCAGAGGATAAAACAAATAATTAGAATCTTGGATATCTGATCTATCAAGTGTAACACGTTCACAGTGATCCTGATTGGTATTTAATAGTTGGATACTTTCATCACTGCTAGAAACTGGGAGTAAAATCTGCTCATCATTTTTGTCTAAGTCACTTCCCAAAATAAAAGTCTGAGGTTGAACATCTTCTGAGAATAGGGCACCATTTTTAGGACTCTGATTAGTGACTATGTCTAAAACTTGAGGAAAATGTAAATTCATGTTTATACCTTTTGACTTATCTGAAAGTGAAGCAAAATCATAGTTAATTCCAATTTTTTTGATAGATTTATTAGCATCTTCTTTATTATATACATATACATCATCATTCCATTCTAAAGATGAGTCAAAATTGCTTAATGTGTTATTATATTCTTCCTCTATTTCTTTTCCAGTGTTTCTATCTTTATAAGGCCCCATGTCAAAACCCACACAAGTTTTATCACAAAACTGTGATACAGTCTCTTTAATAGGAAATATCTCTGTAGGTTTGCTATCAATAGATGTTAAGAGTGGCAAACATACACTGCCAATTTCTTGACAGCTTGTATCCTCACTTTTCTTTTGAACACATAAATTGCCATCGTGAGACAAAATTTCCTTTACCCATCTCTCTGAATCCTGGGAAATTTTGTTTTCCTGTGATTCCTCTTCTGTATCACTGGTCTCAAAATTGCTCAGATTAAAATTTATCTCTAAAAATGGTTCTGTTACATTACTTATAGATTCATGAACATTATTTAGACTTTCACTATCACTACTACTTTTAGAAAGCACATCTGCAATGCCATCAGAGATCTTAGAATTGTTACTTATAGAAGATTCAATCTGTAGATATTCTGATTCCAGCAGAGATGGCATTGGTTGATTATGCTCCTGTTGTGTTTTACCTGTATTTACGACCTGAGCACTTTCTCCAACGCAAACTGATCCTTCCAAGCACATCTTGTCACTTTGATTAACAGGTATTTTATTATTTCCTTGAATGTAAGATTCTGATAATAACCCATCATTGTCTGCACTGCTACAACTACCCAGTAAGCTGCTGCTTTCACAGAAAGAAAGTATTTCTACTTTTTCTTCCTGATTCCAGGATTGATGGGTATCATCTACTAGCTGGACTTCATTTCCCTTTTCATCACACGTTTCAAAGTCCTGCATCCTTTTTTGTACCAAAAGGTCTTTCAAATTCAAACTCATATCACCCTCACAAGATTTAGGTTCCCTTTTTACATCGCTCTCACCTATAGCAGAGGAATGTACGGGTGAACTCTGTGAGGATAAATACATGGCCCACCGGCTTTTATTTCTCATGGTATTTTCTGATTGATGCTGGTCATATAAATTTTCTGTGCTCTTCTTCTCAGCACATGCTTCCGGTTGAATTAAGCACTTTGGGTTCACAGGAATGTTTAAACTTCCTTGTGGCTGTACCTGAGGTAAATGTCTTGTCATCTCAGAATTTAGGTCCTTATGCATATTAGTTGACTTAGATTTCAAAAGAGCTAATATCTGGGCTTTACTTCTAATATTTTGTGAAACTCTCAGATAGTGAGATGCCAAATTGTCTCTTCTTAGGGGCTCATTGTTCAGTGAAGAGTCTGAATGCTGACTTCCAGTACTGATAGGAGAACAAAAATAATTTTTTTCCCCTAGCATTTCTGGGTTAATCATGAAGGATGAAGTAGAGACAACTGAAGACAAAGGCATGCTATTTCTCTCTCTGTTCTCATAAGTAACAATATTTTCAAGATCTCTTGGTATAGTACTTATATCTTTCTTGCCAACAGTAGAAAACAAAGAAGGTATGCTGTTGAATGGAGAAGAGAAAGTATGGCCAGGTTCCTTAGACTCAAGTGATGCAGCTGATTCACCATTTTCTGTAACAATCATTTTCGATGGGACCTGACGTGGTGCTTTAAAACCCTACAAATATTAAAACAATTGTTAGTGTTACCATTATCTATAAATAAAGTGTGAAATAAACTGGCTGAAAAATAATAAGGAATGTGTGTGCTTTGTCTAAGGTAAAATAATAAAATTTAAAGCTTGCTAAATTAAAATATAAACAATCATTTGTTAGCAAGATTTTTCTCTGTAGGATTTATTTTTTTTCTACATAAGTAGATTATGAAGTACCATAGGGTACAATAACTTTAAAATTCATTACTTTTGGAAAAAAAAATTTTTTTTTTTAATGTGGTGCTGGGAATTGAACCCATGGCCTTGTGCATGTGAGGCAGGCACTCTACGAAATAAGCTATATCCCCAGCCCAGAAATATTTTATAAGTATATATTGATGTATTATTTTCCACAGAGAAACTTACAGGAAACTTTCTTTTTAAACCAGCAGGCTGACATCCAAGAGACCGGCCAGAGGATATGAACTTCCTTGAATCTGACTGTGGTGCTTCTTTAATGATATTCTGTTTAATAGTTTTGCTTCCAGAAACTTTAACCTCCTCAACTGTGATTAAGTATCGTTCGCTTTCTAAGTCATCTCCAGGTTTCACCTAAATATTAAAAAATAAATGTTAATGGGATGGGGGTGTAGCTTAGTGGTAGAGAGCTTGCTTAGCATGTGAAAAGCTCTGCACTTGATCCCAAACACCACAAAAAGAAATAAATATATGTTAAAATCTCATACATCTAATTATTTGATTCTATATGTGTTCAATAAACTCACTAGCACTTAGCAACACAAACACATATTCAATAAATAGAAGTTAGGTGAATTAATCAGTAAATAAATTCTTCAATTATTTATTATTGTGCACTAGTTAACTACCAACCACAAAAAAAGATAATACAACAAAACAATGCCACTTATTTGTTCATTCAACAATACATACTGGGTTCCTACATAATGTCCTCTGTTACATGCTAGGAATACAAAGACAAGCAAAAAACAAAAAAGCTTCCTCTCAAGTAATTAACTTAGAATTCATACAACTAAATACACATAATATTTTAATTAAAGCTATAATTATTAATTATATATTTTTATAAATAAATATAAATTAGCCTGGCATGGTGGCTCACACCTGTAATACCAGCTACTTAAACACCCAATACTGCAAAAAAAAAATTTTTTTTTAATTAAATTAAAAATTAAATGAGAAGCTGGGTACAATGGTGCACGCCTATAATCTTAGCAGCTCAGGAGGCTGAGGAAGGAGTATTATGAGTTCAAAGCCAGCCCCAGCAACTTAGCAAGGCCCTAAGAAACTCAGTGAGACCATGTCTCTAATAAAATATAAAACAGAGCTGGGGATTTGGTTTAGTGGTCGAGTGCACCTGAGTTCATTCCCCGGTACCAAAACTAAAAATAAATAAATAAATACAATTATAAACTATTAGTTGCTTAAATAATCACATTCCAAAAAAGTATTTTTAATCCCTTTAATGAACAAATGTAGCTCTTGCCACCACTTCTAACTGAAGCATAACATTATGAACCTAGTTTGAAAATATACAAAATCTATCAGATTAATTTTTTACTAATTAAATAATGTAAGATGATATAACAACCATCAATTAAGCATCTACTAAAATAATCTTCTCAGCCCACATGGTGGCACATGCCTATAATCTCAGTGACTCAGGAGGCTGAGGCAGGAGAATATCAAGTTTGAGTCCAACCTCAGCAATTTAGTGAGGCCCTTAGCAATTTAGCAAGACCTTGTCTCAAAAACAAACAAAAAACATTTTTAAAACGTGGGGATGTAACTCGATGGTAAAGTGTCCCTGGTGTCTATGCCCAGTACCACACACACAAAAAAGGAATCTACTCCTCTACCTGGCCTGGTGGTGCCGCCTATAATCCCAGCAATTTGGGAGGATGAGGACAGAAGGATTACAAACTCAAGTCCCATCTGGACAAGTTAGAGCGATCCTGCCTTAAAATTTAAATAATAATAATAATAAAGGTGGATAGGGATGTAACTCTATGGTAAAGTGCCTCTGTGTTCAATCCCCAGTATCGCCAAAAAAAATAAGTACAACCACTATTAAGGTCATATAAAATATCAAAATGAATTAAATATAATGACCAAATATCAACATAATGACAATAAAAATATGCATTTTAACATCTTTAGAATCACTGTACTGAACTACTAAGTACTTTATTTCTAATCTTCAAACCAATCCCATAAAGTCTGTCTATGACCTAAATTTCACAGTTGAGAAGTTAGAGTCAGGCTAAATTAGCTAGAAGGTGTCTGAAAGCAGGAAACGAACCCAGAACAACCAAGTCTGATATTCTTACTCTTTTTTTTTTTTTTTAACATTTATTCTTTAGTTGTAGGTGGACACAATACCTTTATTTAGTTTTTACATGGTGCTGAGGATCAAACCCAGTGCCTCACACATGCTAGGCGAGAGCTTTTTCCTCTGAGCCACAACTAATTAGAACAAATTAAAATATACATAAATACATAGACAAAAAGTTTTCCCATTTATAAGAACAAATTTCAAAAATACATCAAATAGAGCCTTTATGATAAAATTTACCTTTAGTTCCCTCCCTTTCCTTTTTCTAATAGGAAAAAAAACAAAATTAATACTTGAAAAAATACTTAAATGGAAATAATCTCAGAATATTTGTTACGGTTTGGATATTAGGTGTCCACCAAAAGCTCTTGTGTGAGACAATCCAAGAACACTCAGAGGTGAAATAATTGGGTTATGAGAGACTTAACCCAGTTGATGAATTAATTAACTGTAGGCTGGTAGGGTGTGGCTGGAGGAGGTAGACACTGGGGACATGCCTTTGGGGTATGTATTTGGTGAGTTTAGCCTAGTCTCTCTCTGCCTGCTGATCATCATGTGAGCAGCTTCCCTCTGCCACATTCTTTTGCCACGATGTTCTGCCTTACCTCGAGCCCTAAGGAATGGAGCCAGCTATATTATGAACTGAGACCTCTGAAACCATGAGCCCCCAAATAAACTTTCCCTCCTTAAAATTGTTCTTGTCAGTTATTTTAGTCACAGCAGTGAAAACACAGTGAAATATTTCCCACTGTAAATCTAAGCCTATCAAAAATTCATGTAACTGGATGTGGTGGAGGGTAGGGTGCCTTATAATTCCCGCTACTTAAGAGGCTAAGGCAGTAAGACCAATTAAGCCCAAGAGGAGTTCAGGGCCGGCCTGGACAACATAGTGAGGCCCTATTCTTACAAAAAAAAAGGAAAAAAATTCATTTCTTGAATTTGAATTTCAGCCTTCCACCATAACTCTACATATGAATGTGGGTAAATTACTAAACAATTGTGTTGCACTCTTAGTTTATGTTCAACGAATACCACCTATCATTATTAGTATTGGTACCAAGACTCTACTATTAATAATGTTAATAAAGGAAATATTTAAAGAGATTTTTAAATTACTTAAAAATAATATGAACACATTCAAATACCTCAAGACACTTAAGAAATAGATTTTCCAAACATACTCCTTTGTCATCATATAAAATTGCCTGTGTAAAAATAAAATAAGAATTAAAAAGGAATAGAATATAATTCTGCTTCTCTTAAATATCTTTAATAGTAAAGACCAGTATAACCCTACATCATGTACAACCAGAAGAATGAGAAGTCAAACTCTACTTACATATGATGTGTCAAAATGCATTCCACTGTCATGTATAACTAATTAGAACAAATTAAAATATACATAAATACATAGACAAAAATAGTTTTCCTATTTGTAAGAACAAATTTCAAAAATACATCAAATAGAGAATATTGTGAAAAATGCTATAAGTAAACCATGTAATGAAATGATTATATTATTTTATTTTACTAGATTTGAAATGAATATTTCAATGTTTATTATGCACCTACAGAGTCTGTACAAGAGAATGAAGGTATTCACATAAGAAATTCAAGATCTTGGGCCAGGTATGGTGGGGCACTCCTGTAATCCCTGTGTCATTGAAGGATGAGATAGGAGGATCACAGGTTCAAAGCACCTCAGCAAAGGTGAGGCACTAAGCAACTCAGTGAGACCCTGTCTCTAAATAAAATACAAAAGAGGGCTGGGGATGTGGCTCAGTGGTTGAGTGCCCCTGAGTTGAATCCCTGGTACCAAAAAATAAATAAATAAATAAAATCAAGAACTTGGGCTAGGGCTATGGTTCAATGATAGAATGCTTGCCTAGACCTGAGTTTGACTGCCCTGTACTACAGTGGAAAAAGGGAGGTTTGGAACTGAAAGAAAAAAAAATTCAAGAATTTAATTCTTACCAGGAGGATCTTGGAATTGAATTGGGAAGGAAAACAGAACTGGAACACATTAGAGGGCACAAACAGAAGACAAGATCAATTAAAAGATTACTGTATTCTATGAAGAACTGAGAAGATTAGGGCTTGAAATAAGATGCTGTCATGGGGGATAGAGTTGTTTATGAGGGACACTGAATTAAATTTGTTGAATGTGAGGGTTAAGGAAGACAAAAGAAGCTAAGATAATCATCATCTTCTAGCTCCTTTTCTGTCCCTAGTCATTTCTCTTAGTAATTTCTCTACTAGCCCCTGTAATATTGGTATTTCCATCACTTTGAAAAACAGTTTGGCAGTTCCTTAAAAGATTAAACATAAAGTTATCATATGACCCAGCAATTCCACTTGTAGGTATATAGCTCAAAAGACATAAAAACATGTGTTCATAAAAATTTCCACACAAATGTTCACAGCAGCATTATTGATAATAGTAGACAGTAGAAATAACCCAAATGTATATCAACTGATGAATGGATAAAGCATGATACAATATGTATATACAAAGGAATACTATTCACCAATAAAAAGTAATAAAGTATTGATACATGCTTCAACATAAATGAAACTTGGAAATATTAAGCGAAATAAAATAGTCATATACAAAAGATTATATAATTTCATTCTTGTGAAATGTCCAGAATAGGCAAATTCATAAAGACCATGAATAGATTCATATTTGCTTAGGGATGTAGGCTCACTACTTAGGTTGTAAGCAGTAACTGTTCCTGGATATGAGATTTCTTTTAGGGGTGAAAAAAATGTAATAAATTTAGATTGTGCTGATGGTTGACAAATTATAAATATACTAAAAATTACTGAATGGGTGAATTTTAAAATGTGTAAGTTATATGTCTAAAACTGCTGAAAATTTCATATTTTTAAGGACTCTGTTCTTCTTCCTTTATCCTTTTCATTCTACATTTTCTCCCTGAGCAATATCATCCATACAAATTACATATTATTACACATCCGCTTAAATCATTCTAATAGGAGCTGGGGTTGTAGCTCAGTGATAGAGTGGTTGCCACTCACTGTGCGAGGCACTGGGTTCAATTCTCAGCACCATATATAATAAATAAAAATAAATAAAGTTCCATCAACAACTAAAAAATTTTTTTCTGAATAATTCTAATGTCGCCATAGCTTCCTAAGAACAAGTCCCTATAATAGCAAATAAGGCTTACAGAATCCCTCTTTATCTCCATTCTCGCCCTTGTTCACTCTACTCCAACAGCTCTGATCTCCCTATTTGTCTTTTTTTTTTTTTAAAGAGAGCGAGAGAATTTTAATATTTATTTTTTTTTTAGTTTTCGGCGGACACAACATCTTTGTTTGTATGTGGTGCTGAGGATCGAACCCGGGCCGCACGCATGCCAGGCAAGCAAGCTACCGCTTGAGCCACATCCCCAGCCCCTCCCTATTTGTCTTATCCATGACGTACATATTAATCTAATTTACTGGTCTCTCTCCTCCATGTTATTTCTACAAAATCAGTGACTTATGTGTTTTGTTCCCTGCTGCATCCCCCAGAACAGGCATTGAGAAACCAAATAACTTGCCTAAGATTACAAATCTACTAAATGAAGGGCTAGGATTGAAACTAGGGTATATTTGTTTTTGATGTTAACTGCTCTTCTACTCTGCTTCCATGTGACATTTTTTTACTTTTCCCACTGGCTTCAATAAATACACATTTATTGATTGATGCCTCAATTAATAGAAAATAAATATCTGACAATTTCAATAGTTAGATAAAAGGCATTACTAGAAAGAAAACAGTACAAGCAATAGGTTGGATTTGAAATAGTGCTATTTACAGTAAGATGATTAACTTTCCTAGGACTTTTCCTAAATTTCTGGAACTAATTTGAATTTCTCTATTTTCTGGTAAACTAACCTGTATGAGGTTTATAATGGGTACTTAACAAATATATGCTATAGTTAAGTTCAATAATACTACTAATAGGACCATAACATTATGATTTAGAACCAGAAGAAGTTATGAAGAGCCAGACGCTGTGGTGTATGTCTGCAATCTCAATGACTCAAGAGGCTGAAGCAGGAGGATCACAAGTTCAAAACCAACCTCAGCAACTTAGTGAGGCCCTGTCTCAAAAATGAAAAGGCCTGGGGATATGGCTCAGTGGCAAAAAGTGCCTCTGGGTTCAATCCCCAGTAACAACAACAACAACAAAAAGTTATGAATGATATGCAGAATCCAAACAGATCTATCTTTTTTTTGTTTTCGGGATGGACCAAGGATTGAACCAAAGGGCCTTTTACTACTGAGCCACACCCCCAGCCCTTTTTATTTGTTTGTTTGTTTTGAGACAGTGTCTTACCAAGCTTTTAGGACATTGTTAAATTGCTGAGGCTGACTTGGAAATCCCAATTCTCCTGCTTCAGCCTCTCATGCCACTGGGATTACAGACATGTTCTACCACACCTGGCTCCGGTCAGATCTCTCTTTAAGATTTTGAAGATTGTTAAAAATCTTTAAGATTTTGAAGGCTTTGGCTCTAAACAAATAAGAAGGATATAAACAAGGGCTGAGGCTGTAGCTCAGTGGTAAAGTGCTTGCTTCATATGTGTGATGCACTGGGTTCAATCCTCAGCACCACATAAAAATAAAAAAAGATACTAAGTGTTCATCTACAACTAAATAAATATTTTTTTAAAAAAGTCTATTCCTTCAATCCAAGAAGGATATAAACAAAAAAATAAATAAATTTTTATATGTGTGTGTGTATGTGTGTACAAGGGATTTAAAAAAATATAGACGTGGACAGGACCATACATTCATTTATTCAAAGAGGAAAATTTTGATGATATGACGTAAACACAGAAATTACCAACTCTGAGACCAAATCCTTTTAAAAAGCACAGATTGAGATCCTGTTGTTACTGCAACTGAACACAAATTTCAGCATTTCCTTTGATGATGGTAGAGTTACCCTGATTATCAATATCTCAAGGTCTCAAGTTCCAGCCCAAAATGTTAGCAATCTCAGGCTTTTCTTATAATGAAAACCCTATTTACTGAGATAGTAACATTTTCTTTATTCAATAGGAAAGTACCTTTAAAATCTTGAATCCTTTAAACTGGATATAGTAATAATAAAGTAATTCAAACCAAGAATAGGATCATAAATAGTTTCAATAACAAGGCAATCTGATGTTGGAAATTATAATCTGATATTTAAATATCTTCTGTTACTTTTAATTTTAAAAAGTTTTTATTTTGAAATGGAAGTGTCATTTTAGGCAGTTTATAATTTAAATACATCTAACAGATTATCTTTATGATTTCAATTTAAAATGTGTAATTGAGAAGTTGATTTTGAATATTCAACTTTTTATTTAGTTTTGTTGTTTTGTTTTGTTCTTGTTTTTTGCTACTGGGCATTGAACCCAAAGGCACTAGTCATATTTATTTTTTATTTTGAGACAGGGTCTCAAAACAGCCCTGCTAAATTGCTGAGTATGGTTTTGAACTTGCAATCCTCCTGCCTCAGCCTCCCAAGCCACTGGGATTACAGGTATGTGCTACTGAGTCTAGCTTATGTAGTTATTTGTTTACTTACTTTGCAGTGATAGTGGTTGAACCCAGGGCCTTGAATATGGTAAAAAGTGTCTGCTCCAGTGCTACAACCCACCCCACTCAACTTTTTCATTGAAAGGAAGAGTAAGTAAATTTTACTAGGATGACAATATTAAACCAGAGTGGTGAAGCAACTCAGCAGACTGAGATAGGAGTATTACAAATTCAAGGCCAGGAACTTAGCAAAACCTTGTCTTAAAATAAATAAAAATTTAAAAAAGCTCTGTGAGGGAAGAATAGAAGTTCATTAGATAGACAAAGGCTAATGAAGGAATGGGAGAAAGAATGAAAATAGGAAAGACAATAGAATGATCGGACATAACTTTCTGATATTCATATACGAATACACGACCAGTGTTAACTCCACTCACGTATAACCACAAGAATAGGAAGCTGCCAGTCATGGTAGTGCATGCCTGTAATCCTGGTGGCCTAGAAGGCTGAGACCTTGTGAGTTCAAAGCAGCCTCAGCAACAGCGAGGCACTAAGCAATTCAGTGAGACCCTGTCTCTAAATAAAATACAAAATAGGGCTGGGGATGTGGCTCAGTGGTTGAGTACCCCTGAGTTCAATCCCTGGTGCCAAAAAAAAAGAATGGGAAGTTATACTCAATGTACATATAATATATCAAAGTACATTCTACTGTCATGTATTAAAAAGAATTAAAAAATAAAAATAAAAAGCTCTGGGGATATAGCTCAGTGACAGGGAAAAATAGCATATTAAAAAGACTTTAAGGGGGGCTGGAGATATAGCTCAGTTAGTAGAGTGCTTACCTTTCAGGCACAAAGCCCTGGGTTCAATCCCCATCACCACACACACACAAAAAAAAACTTTAAGAGAAAGTGTATTCATTTTAATCTATTAGAATTACAATAAGGGCTTAAGTACTTGGAAAGAATTTGTTAGCAACAACTAAAACATTAAAGAAAGAAAAATCAAGGCCCACACCAGTGGCTCAGGCCCACCCACAATCTCAGCAACTCAGGAGGCTGAGACAGGAGGACTGCAAGTTCAAAGCCAACCTCAGCAACTTAGCAAGTCCCTTAGTAACTTAGCAAGACAGTCTCAAAATAAAAAAGGGTTGGGGATGAGGCTCAGTGGGAAAGCATCCCTGGGTTCAATCCCTGGTACCAAAATAAATAAATAAAACATTAATTTTTAAAAAGAATTGTGAATAACCTCTACTGAAAAACTTCCCTAATTGAAAACCTCACAATGACTGATAGAATAAGGATGAAATATGGAGATGTTAGCTGGTAGACTGAGGAGGAGGAACTTCATTCAGGAGGTCACAGAGGTAGTCAATGTATTATATAATGAGTTATACTCCATGTATGTATAATATGTCAAAATACACACTACTGTCATGTATATCTAAAAATAAAAAATGTATTATATACTATCATCAATTCAACTGTAATAAAATCATTTTATTAAGTTAATAACATTAATAGACAGTATTACCCTAATACATGTATGATTATATGACTGGTGTGACTCTGCACCATGTAGAGACAGAGGAATGAGAAGCTGTGCTCCATTTGTGTACAATGTGTCAAAATGCATTCTGCTGTCATGTATAACTAATTAGAACAAATTTTAAAAATAATATTAATAGAGACAGTTAGAACATGGGCTCTGAGCGAGAAAGCCTAAATATGACTCCTCCACTCTCAAGCAGTGAGATCCTTGGGCAAGCTACTTCACCACTCTGTGCCTCGGTTTTATCCTCACTAAAATAAAAATTAAAAATAGTTTGAGGCTGGGGAGATAGCTCAGTTGGTAAAGTGCTTGCCTCGCATGCACAAGGCCCTGAGTTCAATCCCCAGCACCAAAAAAAAAAATAGTAATTCTTGCCAGGCACGGTGGTGCACGCCTATTATCCCAGCGGCTCAGGAGGCTGAGGTTGAGACAGGAGGATCACGAGTTCAAAGCCAACCTCAGCACCAACAGATGCAAAGCAACTCAGTGAGACTCTGTCTCTAAATCAAATACAAAATAGGGCTGGGGATGTGACTCAGTGATCGAGTGCCTCTAAGTTCACACCCTGGCACCAAAAAAAAAAAAAAAAAAAAGTAATTCTTAGGAGAATTATGCAGACTAAGTAAGTTAATATATTTAAAGCATTGTGCCTGACACAGTAAGTATTTAATGAATTTTTTTAGTCAAACAAATTAATACTTTTTCTGTGTGTGTGTGTGCGTGTGCTTGTGTGTGGTGCTGGGGATTGAATCCAGGGCCTTGTGCATGTGAGGCAAGCACTCTACCAACTGAACTATATCCCCAGGTCCTAAATAATACTTGTTAAACTTTTATAATGTACAAATTACAGGGCTGGGGATGTGGCTCAAGCGGTAGCGCGCTCGCCTGGCATGCGTGCGGCCCGGGTTCGATCCTCAGCACCACGTACAAATAAAGATGTTGTGTCCGCCGAAAACTAAAAAATAAATTTAAAAAAAAAAAAAAAGGTTTAAAAAAAAAAAAAAATTACATACTGCAATATGGAAATCATTTGAAAATTTCTGTTTTCACATTATTAGTATATGGATATACCTAACACTTCATCATCTACAGTTTTCTTAATATTCAATAAAAAACCAAGAGCTTAGCTCTTAGACTCTGTAGTCAACTGCTCTGCACTTACTTTGTTTCCTAAGTGAGTGATCTTCAGAATTCCATCTTGCCACACTTTTGATTTCTTCATCTTTTGATGAGTATATAGGACCTTATTTCCAAAGTACAAAAGAAAAGAAACATTCTTTTTATATATTCAATGTCACGTATTTTATATACATTTCCCACACATAAAAAATATTTAAGACACCTTTTTTCTTATTAGTGCAGTATCACAACAATATCAACATTAATGAAAGAAAGAGACTGGGAGTATAATTAAATGGTACAGTATGTGCTTAATATGTATGAGGCCCTGAGTTTTGTTTTTTTGAGTTAAAAAAAGAAAGAGGAGGGGCTGGGGTTGTGGTTCAGCTGTAAAAGTGCTCACCTAGCATGTGTGAGGCCGTGGGCTTGATCCTCAGCACCACATATATATAAAAAAATAAAGGTCTTGTGTCCAACTACAACTAAAAAATAAATATTATTTTAAAAAAAAAGAGGGGCTGGGTGGTATTCTCTGGGTGGTATAGCTCAGTGGTAGATTGCTTGCCTGACTGAGTGAAGCCCTGGATTCAATCCCCAGTACCATAATAATTAAAGAAAGAAAAAAAAAAAGTTAGCTAGAGGGTTAGATGATAAAAAGCAGAAAGAACAGGTAAAATATAAGGGAGAAACTGAAAAATTAATAGTACCAAAAATAATTCTGAGCTTTCAAGTAATCAGTTGGAAGGGGAAAATTACTGGGTACTCAAGATTCCTGTAGCCAAGCTAGGCACAGAGGTGCATGACTATAATCCCAGGTGACTTGGAAGGCTGAGATAGGATTGCTAAGTTTGAGAACAGCTTCAGCAACTTAATGAGACCCTGTCTCAAAATAAAAAATTTTTAAAAAGAGCCTGGAGATGTAGCTCTGTAGCTCAGTGGTAATATACCTGCATTCAATTCCCACTACTGGAAAACAAAAACAAAACAAAAAAAAAAACCCTCATGCACTTCTTCAAGTGAGGTTCAGAGACTTGTGGAGGTCTCCAGGACTTTTATAAGCATCTGTGCAGTCAAAACTATTTTCACAATGATTTTGTCTTTCCATTCTTATGCCTGTAGGTGCGGAATGGGTTTCTCAAGTTATATATGTGCAATGCTGCTAGATTAAACTGTTAAACAAATGCAGAAAAAGAGAATCCAGTTGTTTTCTACTAAATCAAATGTTAAAAAATTTGCAAAAAAATGTATAACAATACTAGTCTTCTCAATGTTTTTTCCTGCAATTGTTCTTGTTCTAGAAAAATTAAGTATTTTTAATTTAAAATGCTATTCATGCCGGGCAAGGTGGCACATGCCTGTAATCCTAGTGACTCTGGGAGCTGAGGCAGGAAGATTGCAGTTCAAAGCCAGCCTCAGCAAAAAGCTAGGCACTAAGCAACTGAGTGAGACCCTGTCTCTAAACAAAATAGGGCTGGGGATGTGGCTCATTGGTCAAGTGCCCTGAGTTCAATCCCTGGTACCAAAAAAAAAAAAAAAAAAAAAAAAAGGGGTGGGGCTGGGGATGTGGCTGGATGGTCAAGTACCCCTGAGTTTAATCCCTGGTACCCCCAAATAAATAAATAAATAAATTTTAAAAAATAAAATAAAACATTTTTTATGTTAACATGTAATGAGTTTATTATTATTACCTTTTAATGAATTCAGAGGTATTTTGTTTCTGTTTTAACTTCTGTCTTCCTTTCTCTCTTTTTCCCCCAATACAGGCACTGAACCCAGCTTTATTGCTGAGCAACATCCCCAGCTCTCCACATTCCATCCTTATTCTGTCTATAGCTGGGTTTATAGGCATGTGCCACCAGGCCTGGCTTGTTTTAACTTCTAATATTAAAAAAAAAAAAAAAAAAAAAATCAACATACAATAACTCTACATACAAAAGTTCTTTGGAGTCTGAATTATTTTTCTAGAGTATAAAAAGTTCCTAACACCATATAATGTGAGGAGCACTATCTAGACATAAGAGGCATATCAGGTCATCAAGAGAAACAAATTATTTCCCAGACCCCAAGCTTCCAAAGAATATGTTACAGAAGGCTTTGTATAATCAAAATAGTGCAGTATTTTAGACATAACTAGAAAACTATTTATTTGAATTCAGACATAACTAGGTGTCTTGTTTCTTGTTTTTTTTTTTTTGTTTGTTTGTTTGCTAAAACTGGCAACTCTAGCAAGACATTTGAGTAATGTCAGGAAGGAAGGAGGGAAAGAAGAAAGCAAGGGAGGGAGGAGGAAAAAAACAAAAAAAATGTAAAAATTAGTAAGACTTACAATAAATTCTTGGTTTTCCATTTTTTCTTCTGAAGTTATAAACTAGTTAGATCCAGAAAATAATCAGTACTTATGCATTTATACCACCTAAAATAAAAAATGAAATAGAATATTAAACCTTGGTAAAAAGAATAAGTAGCAAATATAAATCTTTCCAATAAACACTTGACCAGAGGCCAGAATTAAAGATTCCCAAGAATAACTACTAAGGGAAAGAGAGGTGCATCAAATTATCTGTTACTAGGGACACAGAGTGATATCATGTTGTAAAAAAAAGGACCTACCAAGTCGGACATGGTGGCGCACACCTGTAACCCCAGCAGCTCAGGAGGCTGAGGCAGGAGGATTGCGAGTTCAAAACCAGCCTCAGCAAAAGCGAGGCACTAAGCAACTCAGTGAGACCCTGTCTCTAAATAAAATGCAAAATAGGGCTGGGGATATGACTCAGTGGTAGAGTGCCCCTGTGTTCAATGCCCAGTACCAAAAAATAAAAATAAAAAAAGGATCTGCCAAATAGAGAAAATGAAGTAGAACATATAAACAGTGCTTTATATCTTAATTATAAGAGTTTACAAACAGTACTCCTGATATAATGTCTATCTAGAAATGGATTTTTCTTTCCACATAAATAGTTTCCTCATAGCCTGATACCTTTTGTGAAATTTTCTGAATTGCTACAGTCACCACAAGATGGCCCCCTTGTGTTTTAAATTTTTCCTTTTACAATTTGCCCTCAGTGTCCAGTTGCCACTGATTCCGGGGACCCCCTCCCGCGCCCCTGCCACAGATACCAAAATCTGTAAGTGCTTAAGTACCTTATATAAAATGGTATAGATTTTGCATATAACCTATGCACATCCGGCCATCCGCCCATATATTTTAAGTCATCTCTAGATTACTATAATACTTAAAACAATATAAATAACATGCAAATAGTTGTTAAACTGTATTGTTTATAAAAACAGTCCATACATATTCAATAGAAATGCAATTTTTTCTGAATATTTTCAGTGTGCATTTGGTTAAATTTACAGAGATAGAACCATGGATATGGAGGCCTGACTGCACATTAAGGTCAATATAACTGAGTATCCTTGGACCAAATATATATTATATAATACTTATGCAAGGAAAATCTTCAATATTGCTGCAGAAGATACTATAGCTACTCTGTTTTACTGGATGAAATCATGTTGGCAAATTTGGAAAACGAAATCACTGATGGAGCTGGATGTAGTGCATGCTTGTAATTCTAAATACTCCAAGAGCTAAGGCAAGAGAATTAAGATTTTTTAAATCATTGTTTTAATATTTTTAGTGGTAATGAAGTGCTGAGGATCGAACCGAGTGCTTCACGCATGCTAGGCAACCACTCTACCACTGAGCTACAATCCCAGCCCCAAGGCAGGAGAATTAAAAGTTCAAGGCTTGCACTGCCAATTTAGCAGGATCCTGCCTCAAAATAATATTTTTTAAAAATATTTTTTAGTTGTCAATGGACCTATTATTTTTATTTATTTATATGAGACACTGAGAATCGAACCCAGGGCCTCACGCATGCCAGGCAAATGCTCTACCACTGATATAAAATTTTATGAGCCAGGCATGGTGATGCACGACTGTAATCCCAACAGTTTGGGAAGCTGAGGCAGGACGATCTCAAGTTCAAAGCCAGCCTCAGCAACTTAGTAAGACCCTTTCTCAAAATTTAAAAAAATAAAATAAAAACGGCTGGGGATGTGGTTCAATGGTACAGTATCCCTGGGTTCAATCCCTGCCAATAATAATAATAATAATAGAATTTTATGAAAGAGCTGGGGATGTAGCTAAGTGGTAGAGTGCTTGCATAATGTGCAAGGCCCTGGGTTCAACCCCCAGTACTGCAAAAACAAATAACTAATGGTGAACTGAAGAAATAGAGATGTCGAAGGAAGTGTTTCCAAAAGGTATGCTCTCTGGACCAGTAACATTACGTAGGAATTAGAAATGAATATTCTCAAGTCTCACTTTTTTTTTTTTTAAGTACTAGAGTTTGAATCCAGGCATGTCCTATTACTGAGCTACATTCCCAGACTTTTTCTTAATATTATTGTATTTTTTATATCTTTATTTAATTAATTTATTTTTTTACGTGGTATTGAAGATCAAACCCATTGCCTCACATGTGCTAGGCAAGCGCTCTACCACTGAGCCACAACCCTAGTCCCTCCCAGCCCTTTTTATTTCTTGAGACAGGATCTCACTAAATTGCCCAGGCTGGCCTCAAACTTGTGACCCTCCTAGTTTCAGCCTAACAAGCAGCTGGGATTATAGACATGCCCCGCTGTATCTGCCTTCAGATCCCACTCTTGACCTATTAAGTCAGAAAGTCTAGGGTGAGGGCCCAACAGTCTATACTTTAGCAAGCCCTCTAAGTGGTGGTAATGCATGCTCAAGTTTGAGAATACGGTCCTAAAATAGAGGGATTCAATAAAACAAATTTGTGATTCTGGATTCAGTTCTTCCCTTCCATACATAAAATATGCCACCTACATATTATTTGTAAATTGGGTATATTTATTCAAAGCTTACTAAGTGCCATTCATTGTCTAGATTGCTATTAAATTAATGAAATGCTATCCCTGATCTCAAGAAATTTTCACTAAAGCTGAGTGATTAAAAAAAAATTAGAATAAAATGCAATAGGAATTAGGACAGAAAGAGTGTGCAACTTGGTCTAAAATATTAAATAGTTTCCTGAAGGAAGGGATGTCTAAGATATAAGCTGAAATAATCATTAACCAAGGAAAAATGGCAGTGAAGATCTTCCCAACAGGAAACAAGATGTATAAGGGCAAGCCTGATCAGAAAACTCCGGGTAGTCTAAAGAGAAAAGTGCTAGAGTAAGTGTTGAGAGAACAGGCTGGATTCAGAGAACTTTCTATGTTACGCCAACACGTCTGGACTTTTATTGAAGACAGCAGAAGATACAGCAGTTTTTTTAAAAATAAAATGACATAATCTAACTTGGATTTCACAAAGATCACTCTAGTTGCTGAGAAAGGATGTCATAAGAGGTAGGCCAATGGGATATGCATACTTGCCTCAGGAGACAGGTCACAGGAAAGGACCCACTAACCCTAACTTTCAGAAATATGTTTGTTAGGGAGAACTTGACTTGGGCAACACCATTTTGGGTTTTGTTGTTTGATTTTTCATTTGTTTTACTTAGTTATACATGACATCAAAATGCATTTCGATTCATTGTACACAAATGGTTCACAACTTATCATTTCTCTGGTTGTATATGATGTAGAATCGCACCATATGTGCAGTCATTCAAGTACCTAGGGCAATGATGTCCATCTCATTCCACCATCTTTCCTGCCTCCACCATCCCTCTTTCCTTCCTTTCCCTCCCCTTTGCGCAATCAAAGTTCTTCCATTCTCCCCAGGACAACGCCATTTTGAAACATATCCTCCCTCTTAGAAAAATGATCACCCCACAGCAACTCTGACCCAGCCTAACCTAACCCCCAAACAATACTCCATCATTACACAAAAAAGGGAATCGTTATCTGGGACTGAAATCTTAAGATAATACCTTGTTATACATGGACTAGGGTCTACCACAAAGAATGAAGGTGATGACCAAAAGGACCCTTCCCTGACAACCCCTAAGCAATGGCCTAGTCACAAAAATTTCCCCATTCCCTCACTACTCTATAACTTCTGTAGGCTATAAGATGGGTTTGATCCTCCCCCTGGAATCCCACCGGCAGGTCTGTCCAAAATAAATCTGAGTTAATGTTCAGCTGCCTCTCCTAGCACCTTCTTTATTTCCTTTGTTCAGTTCTTTCCTTACAGCAACTTCTTTTATACCCCTTTCCTTCAGCCCACAGGAATTACTAGATATCTAAGTATGCTAACAAAATTTAAGATTCAGAGAGGGCTGGGGTTATAGCTCAGCGGTACAGCGCTTGCCTCATGCATGTGAGGCACTAGGTTCAATCCTCAGCACCACATAAAAATAAGTAAAATAAAGATATTGTGTCTTAAAAAAAAAAAAAAATTCAGAGAAACATATCCCTGGTGGTTTTGGAGCAACTTGCTCCCACCACGATAAGCTGTATATTATATGTATACAGATGATAAAATACACAGTATGAATACAGTGCATGCAGCAGTTAGTATATAGCAGTTATTAATATTGAACTCTTTAATAATAGCTATTATTATTCAGTATAATTATATGCTAGACACTGTTAAAATGCTTTAAATGTGTACAGCCTTATGATATAGATACTATTTCTATATCCATTTAACAAAGGAACTGAAAGACATAATAATTGAGTAACTTGCCCAACATTATAAATGGCACATTTAGAATTCAAAACAAAATTGTGTACATCAAGTACAACCAGAGAAATGAAAAGTTGTGTTCCAATTGTGTACAATGAATCAAAATGCATTCTGTCATATATATCTAATTTAAATACTTTCATTAATAAAAAACACACACAAAAATGTGTAAACATTGGTGCTCAAACTCATAAATACTAACTTATATAACTATTTATTAACTACCTACATGTTTTAGGCAGGAATTAGACAAAACCTTACATAAATTTATCAGTCTCATCATCCCAAACATTAGATACGAGGGGTAGGACAATGACTAACTTAGCATTCATGAAATCTTCTGTGCACCAAAAAAAGTAAGCATTATCATCATGATTTACATATTAGGAATTTAATATTCACTCTTTTAGGATTACTTTTATGCTATTATACTAGAAATTCCCCAGTATTGCAAAATAAATTCCCTACTATTTTCCTAAGTTAAAGTTAATACTTCTGGGATTTTTTTCTCCCCAGTGCTGGACATTGAACCCAGGGATGCTCTACCACTGAACTATATCCCCAGCCCTTTTTAATTTTTACTTTGAGACAGGATCTTGCTAAGCTGCTTAGGGCCTCACTAAGTTACTGAGATAAGGCTAGAATGTGGTATCCTTCTCCTCAACCTCCCAAGTCACTGGGATTATAGGTATGCACCACCAAGCCCAGGTGGAATTTATTCTTAAATTTGAATAAATATTCTCCATGTTTGTATAAATATGTCAAAATATATACTGTCATGTATATATAAAATGAAAAAAAAATTAAAGAGAATAAAAAAGAAATTGTGACGATTCAAATTCTCTAACAAGGTAAATTAGATTATGGGATTAAACCTAAAAGAAAAGCTAACTGGATTTTAAAATATTTAGAAGGGTCCTTATACTTATATTCAATGAGGGTCAACAACCTTAACTTGCATTTTTTTTTTTTTTTGCTTTTTTTCTTTTTTTGCAATGTTAAAGATACAACCCAGAACCTTGAGCATGCTAGGAAAGTGCTCCATCACTGAGCTACAGTCCCAGGCCCTCCTTTCTTATCTTACCACCAAACTGGGGGAACAAAAAAAAAATGGTTTTAGCCAACAGCATTATATTCAAGTGAGGTACAAGGGTAAAATATTTTCTCAAAGTGTTAATCTGTCCAAATTGTTCAGACAATTCAACTGTTGACCATCCTCTAGTAGGTGAAAGATTAATCTGAAAAGTTTTTAAAGTTGCTGTGGAAACTACAGATGTTCTCTGACAATTAAATATGCTCATACATATAAATATACATATTTGTGCTGCTATATATACAAAATTACATATCCATGTTCTTAGTAAAATATGGACCATTCTTCCTATTATGACGAGATGTTTTGGGGTTTTTTTTGTTTATGAACAAGCAGGATTTTCCAAACCTAAATGTGGGCCTCTAAGTAATTCAGGCTGAAAAGTTTCAGAATCAGGAACTCAACGGAAAGACAAGATTTCTGTTAAGAAACTATCCCAGCTGGGGGCGCAAGCCTTGCAATCTCGGCAGCTCAGGAAACTAAGGCAGAAGGATCATCCCAAATTGGAGGCCTGTCAGGACAATTTAGTGAGACCCTACCTCATTAAAATAAAAAGGCTGGGGATGTAGCCCTGGGGTAGATCGGCCCTGGGTTCAATCCCCAACACACACAAAAAATAAGAAAATTAACATTCCAAATAACAACAACAAATGCATACATTTCATTAGCCAAGACTACTATAAAAAAAAATTCCTGTGTCGCCAAATTGACAATGAAAACTTGGTCACTTGATCTTTTGGCAGTCCTAAAATCAAAGAGAAAAACTCTCTCTGATCCTCATACTAAGGACCAGAATTGCAAAGCAGGGCCTAGCAAAGAGATGAAGATGAGGCACAGATTATTGGTAGTTGAAACAAGCTGTGTCGACTACCACTTCAATCTTGGTTTTCAAACAACAACTTCCCGATCTGCTTCTGCCTCGCCCCTCATCGTTCAAATTCCCCTGCCTGTCCACCCTTCATTCCCCGGGAACCCCAAGAAACACTTCATTTCACCTGTCCCATCGCACAAAATCCACTTTCGAATTTCTCCCGCGAACGAGTGTGACGTCACTAACCTGGGACGGCACCAGCTGAGGACCCAGTCCTTAGCCCGCCCACCACCGTCTCAGCCTGAACCGCCTTTTTCAATCGGCCAATCAAATTCTTCATTGGCTTCGCGCCTCCTCAGCTGGCCGTGCTTCCTGAAGCCCCACCTCCTTGGAAGCAGCCGTCACCCGTGACGTCTGCGACAGACGCACGGCCTCCGGCGGGGGGACGCGAGAACGGTGTCGCTCGTCATATGACGCGAAATAACCACGACTTTAAGGCTCGGGAGACGGAAAGGGCTGAAGGACGCAGTCTCTGACCCTGTATTTTGGGAATTGATCCGAGTAAGTGACAGGTGGCGTTTAGGGCGCTCAGGTTGGGTGAAGTCTAAATTCCTGTCAGTCCTTTTTCATGCCGTCAATTGTATCATCTGTCTCCTTCCTACCCCGCCCCCTCCCATCAGTTCGCTTGGCCTTGTACCCTGTGCGCACGCGCAGAAGTCCTGTGGCGGCCCACGTAGTTCCCGTTTTCGAGCTATGGGGGCGCGCAGTGACTGGCATTGGGAGGGTTGGGGCACGCCCCACGTTTGGCGGCGTCTCTGCGGAAGTACGGGTGGCGAGAGGAGCAATAGGGAAAGTGACTTATTTGCGGACGCTGGAGTTGACTTTTGGCTGCCAAAGGATAGCAAATATGAGGACTTGGGGGCGTGTGACTTCTTTTCGAAATTTCTAGTCCCTGTCTTCGGAGAGGTGAAGAAAAGAGCTAACAAGTAATAATGATAGAGTGTACTGAATCCTTTGGTAGAATTACATAGGGAAAACAAATGAGGAGGAGATGAGGAAAGACGTAGTGGGCCACAAGAGTAAGACGGCATTTAAACAGCTTTGGAAATTGAATAGGGATTTAGAAAACACCTTAGGCTGGAAGACTCATTCAAGGCAAAGACACAGGCCACTAAAGTGTTTTTGTTACCACTGAATCGGCTTTGACTAGAACAGTGATTCTTGACCCTTTTTGGCACACGCGTTGTTTTGAAAACCAGGAAAAAAGTTATTGATGAGCGTCCCAGGAAAATGTGTCTTTGAAAAAAACTTTTTGTGTAGAATTTCATAAGGAAAAAAAATTTTTGGCTGATTTTTGGCAAAAAGAAAAAAGCCTATCAACTTCACTGGTCCAAATACTATGCCTTTCATTGTCATTGAGTAATTTTTACAACTGTGTAACTTGTAGAGAACCATAAAAATGGAAATTGGGTTTAGTTAAGGATACCATTAGTAATTGCCTCTGCTTGTATATGTTAATATTCATTTTAATGTACCTGTATGGGTGTTTGGTTTTTTGATTTGGTTAGGTTTTTGAGGGGTTTTTTTTGGGGGGAGGGGGTCCTAAGCAATAAAGGCTCTTGTTTCCTCTCATATTTTCTATTGGTGTATTATAATTATACATATTGGAGAATTCATTGTTAGCATATTCATACATGCATACCACATAGCAGTTTAATTTGACCTTTATTGTGTCCCAGTATATCTCCATTTCCTCCCCTTCTCCCTCCCTCTGGTTCCTGTCCTCTACTCTATTGGTCTTCAGTATTCATGAGAACACACAGACACACTTTTCCTTTTTCCACTCTAACTTCCACAAAGGAGAGAATGTATGACCCTTGACCTTCTGAGTTTGACTAGTTTCACTTAACATAATGTTTTCAACTTCCATCCATTTTCTTCAAATGACATAATTTCATAATTATTTATGTCTAAATAAAACCCCATTGTGTATATATATACCATATTTTCCTTATTCATTCAACCATTGATGAACACCTCTAGGCTGGTTCCATAGTTTGGCTATTGTGAATTGTCCTGCTATAAACATGAGTGTGCATGTATCACTATAATATGCTGACTCTAACTCTTTTGGATAAATATCCATGAATGGTATATGGGGTTCCATTTCTAGAGTTCTGAGGAATCACCATACTGATTTCCACAGTAGTTGTCTAATTTACATTCCACCAACAGTTTAAAGTATTTTTCACCACCTCTGTCCAGCATTATTATTGTTTGTATTCTTTTTTTTTTTTTTTAAGTTGATAGACCTTTATTTTATTCATTTATTTATATGTGGTGCTGAGAATCGAACCCAGTGCCTCACACATGTCAGGCAAGGCTCTACGGTTGAGCCCCAGCCCCAGCCCTATTGTTTGTATTTTTAATGGCTGCCATTCTGACTGGAGTATGATGAAATATCAGGGTAGTTTTTTATTTGCATTTCCCAAGTTGTTAAAATTGGTGAACATTTTGTTTTGCATATTTCTGGACCATTTATATTTCTTTTATTTTTATATAATTATTTTTTTAGTTGTAGTTGGACACAATACCCTTATTTTAGAGGGTGGTTGCTTAGTTTTTTGAGTTCTTTATATATTCTGAATATTAATCCCCAGTCAGAAGAGTAGTTAGCAAAGATTTTCTCCCATTCAGTAATTCTTTCTTCACATTCCTAATTGCTTTTTTAATTCTTCATTGAGTTGCTTTGTAGCATGTAAGTTTCCCTCATTAACTAAGTAAAAGCTCTACCAGGTATTCATGTTATATTTGTACAAGCATCATGATTTACCCTTCCTTTAAAATTTATTATTTAGCAATTTCATGGATTCATAAGAACTCTTGAAACACACCTAAAGTTCCACAGAATTAAGGTTAAGAATCTATATAGATCAGAAAATACCATGTATGATGGCAAATTTCATGTTTTACTAAAAAGTAGGCAATGTGAGACTCAAATATAACACAACACATTAACATTGCCATCTTTAAAAAGCCAAGTTCCTTAACCTTTCAGCCTCCATTAAAAGAGGGTGGAAGAAACTACCTGATAGGATTGTGTGTATTTAGAACAGTGTATTTAAAGTAACTGACATTGTTACACAATAACTTATAATCTTTGTTCAAAGCTCATGTTTAAAAGCCAGTTAGACTACTGGTTTACTTATATTTTTTAAATATAAATTATGTTACTGAGAAGTGATAAGGAATTTCTGAAGTTGCAAGTTTGTTTGTTTTGTTTTGTTGTGTTTTTGGTACCAGGGATTAAACTCAGGGGCTTGAAATCTCTGAGCCACATCCCCAACCCTATTTTGTATTTTATTTAGAGACAGGGTCTCTACTGAGTTGCTTAGCGCCTCTCCATCGCTCAGGCTGGCTTTGAACTCTCCATCCTCCTATCACAGCCTCTGGAGCTGCTGGGATTACAGGCGTGTGCTATTGCGCCAGACTGAAGTGGCAAATTTTGACATCAGCATCACAGAACCCTATCCATATTTTGGGCAAGTTGCACATGGTTTTCTATGAAGAATGGATGATTTCCAGTCGTTTATAAATTGTTGCCATATTCTAGTGACAATAGTTGTGGAAAACACTGGAAATGAGAGCTCTTTCAAAGATTAAATTGAATGTGATAGATTGGTAAATAATGTGGTTATATGTTATTGAATGTTTTTTATAGCAGCAGTTTGATGTTCTTTATGAAATTTTGACTAATCCTTACAACCTTGTTTAGGTATGATTTTTTTCTTTAATCATCTTACTTTGCTTTCTGTTTAATCCATATCTTCCCTAAATGAAAGGTATATTTCATCATCTGAATCCTTAGAAGAATGAAGGAGGGTCTCTGGGCTATGATACAAGAATATGGTTTCTGGGAGAATTGTGACTTTCTGTGCTTTTGTAGTTCTATCCACTATTCCTTAGATGGTAGGCTTCCATCAGGAAAGGAAATGGAGAGTAGGCAGCTAGCCCTTTGTAATGTGGAGCTTCCCTCAATGATAAGCATAGCCTTTTGTATTATATTTATATCCTAGCACCTTACAAAAGAATTTGAAATACTTCACTTTACAGGTAATTTTGGTGTTTTGTGTTTGTTTTTGTCTTTGTCTTTTTTGGAACTGGCAGTCGAACCCAGGCTTTGCAAATGCAAGGCAGACTTTGCCACTGAGCTACATCCCAGCCTGATACTTTTAAATATATTTATTTATTCAACAAATACTTAGGTAGTGATCAAGGTAAAGTCCCGACCCTTATAATGTCTACATTCTAGTAGGGTAGATAGACAATTAAATTATAATTCCAGGTAACATAAGAGAATATATAGAAAATAGTGACTGGTGGGTTGATAGCTTTCAGATTGAAGGGGAGTTCATTTTTTTCTTCCACATTTGTTTTTAAATTTTGTTAGTTGTCAATGGACCTTTATTTATTTATGTGTGGTGCTGAGAATCAAACTCAGTTCTCACACATGCTAGGCAAGTGCTCTACCACTGAACCACAACCCCAGCCCCTCTTCCACATTTTTTATTGGTGCATTATACTTGTATATAATGATGGGATTTGTTACATATTCATACATGCAAAAATTACATAATATAACCTATAATTTGGCCAATATCAGTCCCCGGGATGTCCCCCCTCCCTCCCTACCTTCCATTTCTTGGTCCCTTTCCTCTACTGCTCTCCCTTTGATTTTCATGAGATGCCTACTCTTCCCCGTACTTTTCTTGTCCTTTTTCCCCTCCACCTTCTACATATAAGAGAAAACATACCGTGCTCAACTTTTATTTCACTTAACATAATGGTCAGTAGTCCCATCCATTGTCCTGCAAATTATATAATTTCATTTTTCTTTATGGCTGAATAAAACTCCATTGTGTATATATACCACATTCTCTGCCTGTTCCATAGTTTGACTAGTGTGAATTGTGCTCTGATAGGGAATTTTTAGATTGGATAAAAAAAGAAAGTCTCGGGACTGGGGTTGTAACTCAGTGGTAGATCTCTTTTGCCTTCCATGCATGAGGCACTGGGTTCGAATCTCAGCACTACATAAAAATAAACAGGTAAGGATATTGTGTCCATCTACAACTAAAAAATATTGGAAAAAAAAAGAAAAGAAAGAAAGTCTAAGATAGTGACATTCACAGACATCTGAGTAAAAAAGGAAGTAATCCATAC